TACACCCTAGGTGCACAAAGGGAGTTTTATCTCCGCATTTCTGCAGGTGAACACAGTATCCTAAAGAACCTCTACCCCTCCCTCTCCCCCCTCCCTTTCCCGGTTTCAATAGGTTACATTGTTCTATTTTCACACCTGCATCTACGGCCATCACCTTCATCCTCCTCAACGCCCTTTAATAACCTTCCCAGTTCCTCCCCCCCACCCCCCATCAAGGTTTTTCACTGTGGTATTTGACATGCATGATTTATGAAAAGCAAACTTACTTTAAAGAGGAGGAGGGGCGCAGCTCAAGTGGTAGAGAACTCGGGAGCTCAGCCTGCAATACATAAATTAATCATGGTTAAAGGTAGGGCCTTGCCCGGCACTGCGGACACCTGTAATCCTAGCTGCTCTGGAGGCTGAGATCTGAGGATCACAGTTCAAAGTCAGGAAAGCCTGTACGGCTTATCTCCAATTAGCAATCAAAAAGCCAGAAAAAAGGAACTACGGGTCAAGTGGTAGAGTACCAGCCTTGAACAAAAAAACGAGAGTGCGAGACCTTGAGTTCTAGTCACAGTAATAGTGACAAACAAGGAAGGGAGGGGAGAGGGAGGGTTAGAGGGAGGGAGGGAAAAAGGAAACCTCTGGAGCTTACATTCATGTGGGGAAAACATGAAAATGTACGCAAAAAAAGTACACCTGTCAAAAAGAATGAAAAACCAGGGAGATGAGACTGGATTGCCCCAGAAGCTGCAGTTTCAGGGACCCTCACTGGGAAAGGCATGCCAGGAAAGAAAGGAGACTGGGAAATGCCTGGAGAACTTGGGCCCTAGAGCAGTGAACATAGGAGCACTGGGGCAGAGGAGAAAAGGAAGCCTCACTGGCCTAATGATGAAGGCCAATGTGGACTCTGACTTGCGGATAGCTGAGTTCAGGACTGGTGGGATCTGACTTCGGTCTTAACGGGAACACGCAGGACTCTATGCTGTGATGAGGGGGAGAACATGGGCAGAGGCAGCAAGTGTAGGAAAGGCATAAATAGGGGCTGGCAAGGTGGCTCAGTGGTAGCGCACTTGCCTTGCATGCCTGAGGCCCTGGGTTCGGTTCCTCAGCATCACATAAGCAAAAAAGAAAAAAGCCGGAAGTGGCGCTGTGGCTCAAGTGGTAGAGCGCTAGCCTTGAGCTGAAGAGCTGAGGGACAGCGCCCAGGCCCAGAGTTCAGGCCCCATGACCGGAAACCCTCCCCCCCCCCAAAAAAAAAAAGAAAAAAAGAAAAAGCATAAGTAAGCAGGTGTAAGAAGGATGGCGGTGCTGGGACCCAGCTAAATAGATTCCATGCTTGTCCACAAGGTGTAAGGTTCACTGTCATCCTGGGTACCGGGCATGTGGGGAAAAGTATCCATGGTATCCAGTCTGTTTTGGTGCCAGTACTGGGGCTTTGAACTCAGAACTTGATGTCTCTCAGCCTTTTCCCTCAAGGCTGGTGCTCCCTCATTTGTCCCACAGCTCCACTTCTAGCTTTTTGGTGACTAACTGGAGATAAAAGGCTCACACACTTTCCTTGCCAGGGCAGGTTTTAAACGACAGTCCTCAGGTCTCAGCCTCCAAAGTGTATTTAGGATTATAGGCAGGAGCCACCGGCTCCCAACTCGTGCTTTTAACACATGCCATCCTTGCATCTCACGCCTTACCAAAGGAGATGCTCTGGCTCAGGAAATGGCCAACTTAGTGTGGAATGACAAGTCAACAATGTAAAATGACTGGAAGATGTCCACAGACAAGTGCACTTATCTGGAGATTGGGGAAGGCAGGCAGTGCACCTAGAGTGATGAGCATGTAGGCAGTCTTAGCTGGAGACTAAGATGACTTGGTCAGCGGGAGGCTTGGGTTTCAGAAGACCCGGGGTTTGTAACCATTGGGAGAGCCAGCAAAGACATTAAAAAACTTGATTAATTAGGGGAGCGCAGGGCTCTGGCAGCTGAAATAGATGGTTTCAATGGAGAGAGGTGATGAAAGGTGTCAGGCAAGGGCAGATGAGAGTGAGCATCAGCGCTCAGCAGGGACACTGGGGTAAACCAGGAGACTGTCACCCGAGCACAGGGAACTCACTGAAGGCCACGGTGATGTTTCTGAGGGAAGGTACACAGCCATGGCAAATGGTGCTGGAAACAACCGCACAGGAGTACTTGTCTGCCTTGAGGCAGAGCCCCCAGGTCTCACACCAGCCTGGGAGGGGCCGTCACTGTGGTCTGCACCAAAGGTAGGCACAGGCCCCACATGCACCCTGAGGGCACTCAGATCAGGGAGCAGGCTGACAGGGACAGCTGAATGTGCCTGAGCTGCTTCCATCTTCTCTACGGAGAGTGACAGGAATGCAAACCAGCAATCATATGTGAGGATGGGCTGGTAGTGCCTACCAAGCATGAAGCCCTGGGTTCAAATCCCAGCATTACCCAAAAAAGTGGCACTTCAAGAGGTACAAAAATAAGCCATGAGCAGGCTACTCAGGACACTGAGTTCTGGGGTTCACAGTATGATGCCAAGCGGGGCAGGAAAGTCTGTGAAACCTTTATCTCCACTAAACTACAAACAAAATAAAACAAAAACAAAAACTGGAAGTAGAGCTGTGGCTCAAGTGGTAGAACACTAGCAAACAGGCCAGGGACAAAGCTCAGACCCTGAGTTCAAGCCCAAGGATGGGTGCACACAAGTGTGAAATTGTTCTTTACAAAGGGCATATAAGAACAGTATTACTTTTAAAATTGAGATGTAACTTGCAAGACAAGCAGCTGAGCAAAGACATATACCACATGGCAGACATGAGGGAGGCAGGGAGCAGGGGAAGAAAGGAAGATGAGGGCCAATGTGTGGTCTCCAGCTAGATCCCACCTCCAAACCACCAGGTCAGCTGTGAGCTCATGTACTGGTGAAGAGCCAATGTCATGTCAGACCAGAACCACATTGAGAGAGCCAACACATCAACAGCCTCTATCTCCGTCCCTTTGTGCTCCAAGTCCCCCCCCACTTGCTATTCATTTCTGCAGACTACTTTGCATTTTCGTTTGTAATTTTGTCTTTCCTTTTTTTTTTTTTTTCCTTCTCCTGGTCCTGGGGCTTAAACTCTGGGTCTGGGCACTGTCCCTGAGCTCCTTTTCTTCAAGGCTAGCACCACTTGAGCCACATCACCACATAACAGCTTTTTCTCTAATTGGGAGTTGAGTCTCATAGACTTTACTTCCCAAGGCTGTCTTCAAACCGCAATCCAGAGATCTCAACCTCCTGAGTAGCTTGGATTACAGGCGCGAGCCACCTCCTGGTTCACTTAGTATACTTCACTTAAGTGTGAAGGCTTTTTCCATGCTGAGGTGGACAATCATTCATCTACTCAGCGATAAGTACTGAGGCCCAAGTCTTCACATAGATAGTGCTTTTGATTTTCAGGATAAATCACTACAAATTATTTTCTTTTGGAAGTTACGTCTAGTTAGGACTATAATCTGTTTGGGGTTTGAGTCTTGTGCATCACATCCAATTATTTCATATTATTAAGATGTTTGCATCTCTGTCAAAAACTATTTGTCTACATGTATGGGTCAGTTCTGCTCTTCCACTCTGTCAGACACACAGCCAGCCACAGAAGGACTGATCTACTGACCAAAGAACAGATGGGCAAATGAAGGGGGTTCTGGGTAAGAAGCATCTTTCATCAGCTTGCCTTAAGAGAAACATGGGTACTGGAAAGGAAGACATTTCAGGAGGATGATCAAGCAATGTGAGGTGATGTGCAAGGGCCCTCCACCAGGGGTTTTAGGGAAGTGGACTGGGAGGAACTGGTTCCTCTAGATGGGAGATACCTATGCATCCAACAGTAGGGGAGCAGCTGGGCCTGGGCCTCACCAGGAGCTAAGACTACAGGTAGACACTACAACACCCAGATTTCTGTAATTTTAAAACAATCCTAGGGAACAAAGCATAAACAAACCAACTAAAAACCTAGGCTAGCCGGGCGCTGGTGGCTCACGCCTGTAATCCTAGCTACTCAGGAGGCTGAGATCTGAGGATCACGGTTCAAAGCCAGCCCGGGAAGGAGAGACCGTGAGACTCCTATCTCCAATAAACCACCAGAAAACTGGAAGTGACACTGTAGCTCAAGTGGTAGAGCACTCACCTTGAGCTGAAGAGCTGAGGGACAGCGCCCAGGCCCAGAGTTCAAGCCCCACGACCGACCAAAAAAAAAAAAAACCTAGGCTATAACTACAACTAACATTCACTTTATTCAATTTTGTACTCTCCTCTCAGAAGGCAACAGATGACCACATAAAAAAGGGAGCATTTTCAAATATATGCACATAAAATTGGTCGGTGTATCTAAGATGTTTGATGTAAAAGTAAACTGACATTCCAAAACACAGTCATTCCTAGGCCTTAGTTACTACATTTTTGTCTAGCATACTCTATTGCTTTCATGACTACAAAAAGGCACTCAGACAAAACAAGACATGAATAGAAACGTTACATCTATATCTACATACACAGAGACATAGTCTTCAGGTTATTTTTAATGCCAAAGATACCACTAGGGGTTATTTGAAAGAAGTCCTTACTCATGATGGTTGTTTAAAAAACTGACATAGAACAGAAACAGGTGGGGGAAAACCCCTAGCAGGTGGAAGATTTAGTGAGTAGACAGGTATAAGACAGCTTAACCAAAGAAGAGCAATCTCCACAAATGAGGCTCTTAAGAATACTCCAGGGGTAAGACACTTTAGTGTTTGTCTTTTCTTGATAATGACTGGGTAACATTCTGAAGGAGTACTTTAAAAACTTGAACTTTACAATGTAAAAACAATGTATCACAGTCAACAGCTTGATAATCCTGAAATGAAAATTAGTGGCTTGCTTGTGAATTTTTTTAAGTGCCAGTGGTAACATAGTGGCACGAGTCTCGTTTGTGTGTGCACACAGTGCAGTATAGAAATGTCCAGTGTTTTGTTTTTACAGAACCATCAATTCAATCTAATTCAGCAATTAGTCTTTAATAGTATTTTTCCACTACAGAAATGACATATCTGGGACCATTCATTGGAGAGAAAGTTATTCTGTTATGTGTGTGAGGGAAAGAAAAAGATTCCAGTAACAGCAGTTCTATTAAAGTGTTGAAATAAAAATAACTAGTTTACATCTGGAATCAAGATGTCTCCTCTGTTTCACCAGAGAACAGGAAACAATAAAAATCAAGACCTAAAAACATGGAGGCTTTACGGCTAGCTATACAAACACTTCAATTGGCATTTTGCTCATTTTCATCTCAACTGTTAGTACTTTATAGTTTAAAAAAACAAACACAATTTCCTAATGATGAAGCATTGCATGCTTCATACCATGACCATTTGATAACTAGCTATGAAACTCTGCCCAAAGGTTGATTTGTCTTCGGTTTCTACATAGTAAACAAAGAGCAAAGAGGTCTTCTTTTCAAGTAAATAAACCTCCTGAAGACAGGTTTAGCCTAATGTAAAAGGAAACAGAATGACACTGCAAATGCTGTAAGTCCTATGTGGAGAAGGGCACCAATATGAGCACCTTCTGAACCGTGGGGTTTAAATACTTACTACTGGGTAGTGTTGAGGCCTGAATGTGGCCGGAGCAGACTTGAGTTAGGTGGGCCAAGAATGCTTTCCTCACCAGAAGACCCATCTTTCTGAAAACAGTAAGACAGAGCACGACACCTAGGGACATTCCTCACTAAGACGACACAAAGCTATCTGCCAGTAAAATACGTAGCAGCTAGTAAGAGTCACTTAAAACTTCATAGAATAAACCACTTTTAACCTGTAGTATCTGCCTAGAGCTCTGTTAATGCATTCTAACAATTTTATATCAAGACTTAGAAAGCCTTTAAAATTCAATTTCAAAAAGCAAATCACTAATATTTAAAGAGAACAGCTTATGTAGCTTATGTAGAAGGCTGCTGCTGTTCTCGGTGGGACTGCACAGCTGAATAAAGGCAGGCTTGCTAGAAAGGCAAAGAAAGGCTGCTGCAAAGTGGTGTTAACACTGACCCCTATGTCAAGCACTTTCTCATATACTGACGTTCAAAATATATTTTAAAGTGTTTGCTTATAATGCTTAGGGAAAAATTATTTTTAAAAAGCCCACAATAACATTTCCCTCTTAATCTTCGTAGCTTATGTTTGGCTGACATACATTTTTTTAAAAGATTTTCAGATTTTAACCTATAATACTATAATGGAAATTCATTTGTCCATGAAAACTCTTTAAGTTGTCACTCACAAACCAACACTATCCTTTACTAGATTACTCAATACTTAGATCATGTGCTAATCATTCCAGTCCTCTATACTTCAAACCAGATTTTAGTGTTTAGTTCTCTGAGATTTTTATAGCAGTCTCAATGGAATACATTCCTATGTTAAAAGGCCAGCTCAGCAAGTTTCCTTCTAGAGAAATAAAAATTGGTTTTTATTTGCAATTTTATTCTGTAAACAAAAAGCTGTGGAAACTTTGGGATTCACTGATGCAAATGAAGAAATGGACTCTAATATTTACCCTGCCACTGCTGCGCTAGCCAGCAGGGCCGGGCTCCAACCCAACTTCTCTACTTCTGTCACCCAAGACTACAGCACAGCACACTTCCTAAGCATGTGAGAACTGCCTCCATCTAGTCAGTGGTGTGGCCAGTGATGTTACTCTAAGATTTATGATCGTGCATGCCTCTCGGCAGCTGCTAACAAAAAAAGCTGCATGGAAGGAGGAGGGAAACTAATGGAAATCTCCATTTGTACCTTTTTATCTTCTAAGTTATAGACATGCCCCTAACAAGCACAAAACCCAACTCCCAATGCTGATCATTAGGAATATTAAATTATCAAAATTTAAAACAATCTTTTCACCTAGCACAAGATACTATACAATATTACAAACACAGACACATGAAAAACATCAGGCAGTAGAAAATGTACAACAGCTTTGGTGTTATACAAAATAATTTCCTCAAAACGACTGCCAGTGAAGCGCCAAGTTCATTTTCTGTTACCACAGACACTCACTCTGTGGTACATTTCTGCTTGTTTCCTTTTAGGTTCTTGGTAAGGTCAGAATAGTGGAGAAAGACAGAACAACGTACAGTTCACTGGGGTTGCTAGAACTGCGCTCCACCAACTGCGCTCCATGGCGTTGGTGGAAAGTTTCGCCTGTGCACAAACTGCTCTGTGGCATGTTTCCTGTCGAGATCACAGCAGGTCCAAAGTAAAGTGACAACCAGATTTAATAAATTAATATACATTTTGTTTAAAGATGTACAATGCACATTCTGTTTAATCCAAGGTTTCGGGGCATCAGGGAGCTTCTATTTACACATATACAGATCTCAGACAGCAGTGATGGCGGCAGATGCAGGAAGAGCAGCAGAGCTTAGAGCTGCTCTCTGAATGCTGAGGACACAAGTCAAGTACATTTAACTTAAAAACAATGCTGAGAGATCACGGGGAAAATCTCCAAAGTGAGAAGTCCACAAAAAAGGACACGTAAAGGCAAGGGGAGGTCAAGGAGGTGAGACAACCACTTTATTCTTGGGACGACGGTGGAGGTGGCGCAGATGTGCCTTGCTTGCCAGATTTCCGCTCATAGTTCACCAGGCGCTGCCCAACAAGGTATCTAGGTTATAAAAACAGGGAGGGGAGGTCACACTTCATGTATGCTTTCACCTATGACAGTGTTCAAAGAGCAGCCAAGAGTACTTTATTTTCTGCATAATGAGCTCACTCTGCCACTTGAACTATGCTCTGCCTTCAGCCCCCACACCCCTTCCTTGTCAGAACCCCGTCAGGGCCTTGTGCTTACTACGTAAGTTCTCTACCATTTGAGCCACACCTCCAGTCTTTTTTCATTATTTCTCAAATAAGAGTCTGTAGTGTTTTGCTGCTGTCGTCCTGCCGCCTCCCCCCGTCCCAAGCCAGTGGGAACAGTGATACTTAGCTTTTTCTTTGTTAGGATCATAAATAGGTTTTGCCCTAGCTGACCTTAAACCAGGATTCTTTGATCTCAGCTCCCTAAGTGTCTGGGATTATATCATGGGTCACACATCTAGCCATTTAAAAAAAAAAAAATTATTGTTGTTGGTGTGGGACTTGAACTTAGGGCCTGGGTGCTGCCCTTGCTTGAGCTCTTTTGTTCAAGTCTAGTGCTCTACCACTTTGAGCCACAGCACCACTTCTAGTTTTCTGGTGGTTAACTGGAGATGAGCCTCACAGACTCTCCTGCCTGGGCTGGCTTTGAAAAGCGATCCTCAAATCTCAAACTCCTGAATTGCTAGGATTACGGGTATGAGCCACCAGCAGCCAGCCAAGTATTTTGTTTTTGAGGTAGGGAATCACTAGTACTTTTGTTAAAGATGGCCTCACACTTAAGATCTTCCTGCTTCTGTCTTCTAAGTAAGTGGAAATTTAAGTGTGTGCCACAGGCATTACCACACCCCTATTCTGGCTTATGGTGTGTGTGTGTGTGTGTGTGTGTGTGTGTGTGTGTGTGTGTGTGTGTGTGTGTGTGTGTGTGTATGTGTGTGTGTGTGTGTGTGTGTTCCCGTTTCTTGGTGGGAAATTGACGCTAAGAGTTTCACAGAACCACAATCCTCAGATCTCAGCCTCCAGAGTAGCTAGGGTTATAGATATGAATGCAAATGAGATCACAGTATTACTACTTCCAACCAGTCAACAGTCCCAATGACCATAGGGGTGTCTAGGGCAGGCACCTCAGAGGGATGAAGGGGTTTGCAGGAGCCATGTACCATCATAGGTAGATTCGAGAGTCTCATAAACTGGGACACTTAGAGGAAATAAGTGTTATAGTAAGTTAAATAAATGCAGGGAATGTATGTGCTATGATTCATATTATATAAACTAACTTATGTGTTAAAAGCACGGTGAATGTGAGTGTCAGGAGGTGATGGCTCATGAATAAAGAGATAGATGATGTCATAAAAGGGAGAAGACTGGTGAAAGGGATGGAGCTGGCAAAGTAAGGCAGAAGTTACTGGCTGGGATGATGGTACTGACTAGGCTGGAGATGGACGTGTCTCCAACATGATGGGAACGGAAGCTGCCGAGGAGGGGGTCACTGAATGCAAGCGGACGGGAGTGTGGCAGGTGACAAGGCAGACTGGCAGCAAGTGTTTGGGGCTGGCACCAGTGTGAATGCGTACCCTTTGGAGGTAGCAGGTCAGAGTGGGCATGGGCATGCTCAGTACATCTGTGGTGAAGAACTCTGTGCACAGTGGGCGGCCTAGCAGCCATGGATTATGCACCTATGAGCGTGATGGCAGTACTCACACCACCCGAATACTGTACAGAATGGCTGCACCTGCAGCACTGCCTGACAAAAGGCCCAGTTGCACTCGGGGCTGCTGCACAGCCCCAGCTTCTCTTCCAGACCTCTCACCTGTCCTCTACCAGCACACGCGGCCTCCAGTGCCCTATTTCACCTTGTATAAAGCACACTAATCTCCCTGCTTCTTTGTCTATGACATCAGTACTTAATCCCTTTCTGTCTTACTTGTTCTATTCAAGTTTACCATCCAATCCACTATCATCCAAGGAACCAGTTTCAAAAAGGAAACACTTACTGCTTTATTACACACCATAAAGAAAAACGAAATCATGTCATTTACAGGAAAATGGATGCAATTACAGGACATCATATTGAGCAAAACAATTCAAACTCCAAAAAAAAAAAAAAATCCTATGTTGCCACTATACCTATGGTGAAACTACACCTAAAAGAGGTGCATATGATCTACCCATATATCTTAATTATGATAAACAGAATATGAATCGAACTAAGGTACTACTTAGGAGAATGGAGAAAGAGGATGCATGACTTTAATATGTTGCAAATAAATATGGGGCAGCACAGAGACTCAATGAAAGGTGCTGATCAGGAGGAGGGTGGGGAAAGAGGCTGTGAGGTGGGCAGAGCCCGGTGGGGAGAGGTGCACTGGTAGAAGATAAAGGAGGTTGAATATTAGTTTTAAAGATTATCTGTAACTATGAAAATTGGAACATTTTTCTGAGAGGAAGGAAGAGGGGCAGAGAGTGACATAGGAGATGAGATTGATAGAAATACAGTGTAAAACGGCCGGAGATAGAACAGCCGTCAATACATTTGCTTTAAAAGTATTAAAAAACAAAACCAATGAGTATGTTGTTTTTTGATGACAATATCTGACTCATATACATAACTATCTGACACAAATGTAATCATCAAACATAGCAAGATATGCCAGGTATGTGGACAGCACTGAGGCAGGGAAAAAGGAAAGAATGAAAAGCATACAGAAGTCATGCTCATTTGCTGAATGGGAGAACTTTTTTTTTTGGGGGGGTCCAGTTGTGGGGCCTGAACTCTGGGCCTGGGCGCTGTCCCTCAGCTCTTCAGCTCAAGGCTAGCGCTCTACCGCTTGAGCCACAGTGCCACTTCCGGCTTTTTTTTTTTTGCTTATGTGGTGCTGAGGAATCGAACCCTGGGCCTCATGCATTGCAAGGCAAGCACTCTACCAATGAGCCACCTTCCCAGCCCAAGTAACTTAATAGCAGAGAAATGAAACACTGAAGACTCTCTCCCCACACCAAGAGACCAAACACAAGCTCAACAGCTGACAATAAGCGCCAAAGAGAAGCATGCATCGGGCTTCTAGAAAGGGCTGGAAATAATGGGAAACAGAAGAGGTACACAGGTATTACTGGTGAAGACTGAAAAGGGCAAAAATAGAGGCAGCCATGGACATAGGTGTGAAGGAAGGAAGCAGGCTGGAAAAAGTTGGTATGTCTACTTTGCAGTTTTGTTTGCAGAGCTATTCTTCAGCCAAAACAAGTGATCAGCATGCCTCTCCTCACTGACAATCTCCCCTCCCTTTCTTTCATGACTGACAGTCCTTTTTTAATACTCTGCCTGAGAGTACTTACATTTTTCACTCTCAGTACAAAACTTAGAGTAGTTTCTAATAATTTAAATTTCTTAAAAATTGTTAGTATTTATAGCCAGGTATCAATGGCTACTCAGGAGTCTGAGGTCTGAGGATCAAAGTTCAAAGCCAGTCCAGGCAGCAAAGTCCATGGGACTCTTAGCTCTAATTAACCACCAAAAAGCAAGAAGTGGAGCTGCAGCTCAGGTGGTAGAGCACTAACCTTGAGCAACGCCTTCAGGCCCTAAGGTCAAGTCCCCGGACTGGCAGATACAAAGAAACTGTTACTATTATCTATCTTTTGACCACACTGGGATTTTAATTCAGGCCCTTGTGCTTGCTGGGCAAGTATGTCTACCACTTGAGTGACAGCCCCAGTTTTTGAAGAGTCTTGAATTTCTGCCTGGGTTTGGCCTCAGACCAAGGTCTCCTTGTATACATACTTCCCACTCATCTGGAGATACATTCACATACAGCTTGCCAATGAGAGAGGGTCTTGCTAATATTGTGTGTGCTCAGCCTGAATTCAAACCATGATCCTTCTCAATCTCCACCTTCTGAATAGCTGATGTTAGAGTTACACATACATCTATCTTTAAGATCCCTCAGAGGCCAAGTGTGGTGGCACACACAGGTAAGCCTGGTGCTTGGGAAGCTGAGGCAGGATGACCTTGAGTTTGGGGCAGCCTGAGAACAAAGTGAGACCCTGTCTCTCTCATGTTGTTAGTAATAACATGATGGGTACAGGCAAATTGGAATGGCCATTTATAAACTTGCTTTGCTAGATACCATCAAAGCAGAGGATTCAACCTTCTTCTAAGATATGAAATTTGCAATAGCTATATGCCAAGATGATCTTTTACTCACACTCAGATCCCTCCTATCTTTCATTGAGATCAGGTGGCAATTTTCAATGATTTTCTCAGATACTTGCAGGAACTTTAGAACCTCTCTGTGCAATAGAGTAACCTGGGAGTTGCTAATGGTAGCATCTAGTTTTTATCTAAAATAACACAATAAATTGCCAGTTCAAAAAATCAAAAACAGGTTGAAAACAGGCACTAAATCACTCTTCGTCCCCAAGCCAGCTGAACGTAGAGAACTTGCTGATTCTGCCGCTTGAACCATCGGAGCTCTTGGTTACCTGCTCCCTCACATGCCATGCTCATCTGTTAGTGAATCCTACTAGTCCTACTACCTCAACACATAACCAGAATACGAATACTGTTCCCTAATGACTACCATGTTAAACACAAAAACAAAAATTGAGAGCTAACAACTACACAAGAGTGGCTAAATGAATTGAAGACTTACTTGTCATTTTTAATGTGTTCATAAAGGCGCTTAAACTGGCGGACCTGGAAGGACAGGATTCCCATCAGGACCACAACCATGAGTAAAAATGGGTAAATCCGCCGGTGGACTAAGTTTTGCATTTCCGCAGTAACACCTGGAAAACCAAGAAAGGACAATTTTATATATTATGCTGACATTGTTTGGATATGCCTTGTGATTCTCAAGAGTTCAAGAATTCCTGTCCAGCATAGGTGGCTGTAATCCTAGCTACTCAGGAGGCTGAGACCTGAGGATTGCGGGTTCAAAGCCAGCCAGGGCAGAAAAGTCTGAGACTCTTATCTCCAAATTAACCACCAGAAAGCCAGAAGTGGAACTGTAGTTAGAGCATCAGCCTTGAGCAAAACAGCTCAGAGACATCACACCAAGTCCTTGAGTTCAAGCCACAGAACCAGCAAAAAAAGGAAAGAATTTTGATAAGAAGCTCTATCTCTATGACCCTGACCTTTTTTTTTTTTTTTTTGGGGGGGGGGGGGGGGATGGTGGTGGTAGTTGTGGGGCTTGAACTTGGGGCCTGGGTGCTGTCCCTGAGCTCTTTTGCTCAAGGCTAGCACTCTATCATTTGGAGCCACAGCACTTTTGGTTTTCAGGTAGTTAACTGAAGAGTCTCAAGGCCTTTCTTGCCAGGCTGGCTTTGAACCTTGGTCCTCAGATCTCAGGCTCCTAAGTGTCTAGGATTTATAGTTGTGAGCCACCAGTGTTTGGCTGAATCTGACCAAAAAATCTTATTTACCATACCTTTTCTCTTGTATACAGTCTTTCCAACAGAGCTCACAATGAAATTTCTAATGATGCAAAAATGAAAAAATTTAGGTTTGGAAAGCTAAAAAGTTAATTCTTAATTCTACATATCATCAATGTGCAGAACATAATATACATTAATGAGCAGAATATTAAAAAATAATTGTACATTCCTACACAGCTGAAACAGTAAACTAGAAAATAATCTACCTTTACTTAAAATGTAATTCCAATGAATCTGGGGGTGGGACGGTGGCTCAGTGGTAGAGCGCTTGCCTTGCATGCCTGAGTCCCTGGGTTCGATTCCTCAGCACCACATAAGCAAAAAGAAAAAAGCCAGAGGTGGCGCTGTGGCTCAAGTGGTAGAGCGCTAGCCTTGAGCTGAGGGACAGCGCCCAGGCCCAGAGTTCAGGCCCCATGACCGGACCCCCCCCCCCCCCCAAAAAAAATGTAATTCCAATGAATCTAAAAAGATTAATTTTAACGAAATGGTCTGTCAACTAAGTAGTACCTTTGTATTACATTTTAGTACGATGTGTATAATACCTGGCAGTGACAATTCACACCAAATGAAAGCCCTGGTGTTTTGATTCACAAAGAACCAGAAAACAATGTCCCCTGTCCTCCAGCAGGCCAAAGGACACAATGCTCATTACAAAGGTGCCTAAGCTTGCTGCCAAGCCAGTGTCTATTTGCTGAGAAAGAAGGGGGTTGTTGGAAGTTACACCAGTGGTGACCCTCGACTCCTATGGGGTTACAGGTGGTCTATTTCTTGAGCTGGCAAATTTACACTGTGTCCATGCCACACTAAAATTTGCTGTCTGAGTCTGTCCTGTGGTTAGATGTGAGAGAAAGGATATTTCTTGGTAGAGAGTAAGACAATGAGCAAAGTGCTGATGGCTCACACCTGTAATCCTAGGAGACTGAGATCTGAGGCTGGAGGTTCAAAGCCAGCCTGGGCAGGAAATTCCTGAGACGCTTATCCAATTAACTACCAGAAAACTGGAAGTGGAGCTGTGGCTGAAGTAGTAGAGCACTAGCCTTGGGCTGAAGAGCAAAGAGACAATGCCCAGGCCCTGAGTTCAAGGCCCATGATTGACCAAAAAAAACAAAAAAGCACGTTGGAGTAGAGGCCATTTGGTGTGTGTTTAGCTGAAAGTCAGAGTGCACCACAGAGTGAGACACAGAGTTAGGAAAATCAGAGCCGAGGTTAAAGCTAGAGGAGGAGCCATCATCTATGCCAACGAGCTGGACTGAATTTTATAGGCCACAGAGGAATAAATAAAAGACTTCACCTAGCCGGGCGCTGGTGGCTCATGCCTGTAACCCTAGCAACCAAGGAGACTGAGATCTGAGGATTGTGGTTCAAAGTCAGCCCAGGCAGCTAAGTCTGTGAGACTCATCTCCAACAAACCACCAGAAAATTGGAAGTAGTGCTGTGGCTCAAATGGTAGAGCACTAGCCTTGAGCTGAAGAGCTGAGGGACAGCGCCCAGGCCCAGAGTTCAAGGTTTCTCACTTAGGCAATTTGTTGGACAATAATGTAGTTCTTGATAAATCAGGAAAAGAAAATCGGTGAAGTTATTTTGGAAATATGCTAGGTTTAATGTCCTTTGATGATTCTTCAGGACCAAAGTAACTGAGGTCACAAATTAAGTCTCTGCTCTTTGGTTTTCTTTTTTCCTTTTTGCCAACATATTTTAAAACTAAATATACCATTATTTTACTTAAGTGTATGTGATCACTGAACTAGTAAGGAGAAAATGTGAAGGAAATCTGATCCTGCCTATTTTAAGAAGTAGTATAATGTCATTACTTTCTCACCTAGTGAAACAAACTGTATCAAACAGCTTTAAGATCCTTCTAATCTTACCCTGCAAGGTCAAATCTAAGAAAGGAAGTTATTTTGTTTGTTTGGTTTTTTTGGGTCCGGTTGTGGGGCCTGGGCGCTGTCCCTCAGCTCTTCAGCTCAAGGCTAGCGCTCTACCACTTGAGCCACAGCGCCACTTCCGGCTTTTTTCTTTTTGCTTATGTGGTGCTGAGGAATCGAACCCAGGGCCTCTGGCATGCAAGGCATGCGCTCTACCACTGAGCCACCTTTCCAGCCCCAGAAAGGAAGTTATTTTAAAGCTGATCATTTCTAGTGTCTATTAACAGAAAAGTATCTGGAGTCAAACAGCTGATGTGACAAGAATGCCATGATGTTAATAAAAGCTCTCTTTCAAATCTGCAACAAGCATCACCTACCTAGTAGAGGGACAATGCCTGAAGCAATGACATAAGGTACACAGAGGGAAAGCAAGAGCACAGAGATCACTGGAGCTGCCAGTTTACGAATGATATAGTGAAGGTCAATGTTCCGGATGCCGTTTGCATAGACCTGAAACAGTGAAGAGAACAAAAGATTAAAACAAAGACACAAGACAAATCCTCAGGTTAATAAATACAGCAATCTACTGAATCCAAGACACAGAGAACTAAATCTATCAATCCAGAAGGATTCAAACTGGTTATTTTTCCTAAGTCAAGGCAAATTCTAAGGCACAAACTTAATAAGCCTTGAGGGCTGGATGTAGTAGTACATACCTGTTATCCCAGGGAGGTGGAGATTGGGAGGATGGTAGTTTGAGGCCAGCCTGAGCAAAGTTTAGCCAGATCTTATTTCAACAAACAAGCCAGAAGTGGGATTATGCCTATCATACCAGCTACATAACAATAGGTAGGAGGATCATAGTCCAGGCTAGCTGGGCAAAAAGTACAACATCCAATAAAACTTAAGCTGGTATTATACCCAAATGATGATGATGTTTTTAAAGAAAATTATTAATTCACTAACACTTTATATTTTCTTCTTCTTCTTTGGTACTACTACTGGGGATTGAACTCAGCACCTGATGTTTATACTCACACCATTTAAGCCAAGCCTTCAGCCCCTTTTCACTGCTTATTTTTGAAGTAGGGTCTCTTTTATGCCTTGGTTAGCTTGTGCTGCAGTTGTACCACTTATGTTTCCCCAGTCTGCTGGGGATAATAGGCCCGCACCACCAAACCCACCTAACCGGTTGAGATGGAGTCTCCTCAACTATTATTTGCCAGAGCTAACCTTGAACCACCATCTTCTGGTCTTTGCTTCCAAGTAGCTAGGATTACAGGCTTGAGCCACTATGCCTAGCATTTTAGTTAAGTCTAAGCGATTAAACACAACACTAATGTAGACTAATAATCAGTACTAGCCTTGTATTTTGTAACATCAAATAACACTTCACAAAGTTTCATTCTTAAAACACTTTCACAAATACTTTGTGAATGATTTTCTAAATTCCATGCATTTTATCTGAACATGACAGGAGAAAGATGTAAACAGAGCAAATGTGCTTCTGAAAAGCTTTTATCGTAGTTTAACAAGTCAAAGTTATTTTCAAAAAAGCTCAGTACAGAAGAATTCTACAGTGGATATTAAAGTTTCCATTTACTTCCAGATTATTTCCATACTATTTTACAAACTACTACTAGCTAGTTCTGTAGAGGACAGAACAGATGGCGAGATGGAAGAGCACCAATCTCCCTTCCTTCCCTTCTCAGAGCCCAACATGTAATGGGACTCAACCCTATGACCCTGGGAATGATGTACAAACAGGCTGAAGCCTTTAAAGCACGCTACTATAATTAACCTACGTGTACTACAGTGAAGTTGGGTCTCCCCACTCCAGTGAGTGTGGACGACTACAAAGGCCAATAATGTTAACTGCCTACTTCCTCTCCCCCAGGAACAGACCTTTATCACTCCTTTGCTAGGACTGCTAAAAATCTGAAGTAGACTGGTTCATATGCCCTTCCTGAATGAATGTCTCATTCTTAGTAACCTTCCAAGAGTCCACATTTTTTGATGGTACATGCAAACATACATCAGCCCACCTCACCAGCCTCATTTCTGCTGCTAAGAACTAAAACTTAAGGTGCAGGCATTATGATGACTGATTTTCCTGTGCACACTGGGTTGAATTGTTGCCTTTGCTATCTATCACAGGTGAAGCTTAAGAGATGTTACACCTTATTCATCTGACACCAACTTAAAATGAGTTACCCTTAAGTAAATTTTTTAGACAATTAAAGCTTAAAGAAAAAAAAAGCCAAAATATCTTATGTCAGCTGTTTTTGATAAAACTCTTCCCAAATGAATTAACCTGCTTTCTAGTCTTCGTATCAGAGCACAAAAGCACAATTAGGGGCTGGGAATGTGGCTCACTGGTAGAGTGCTTGCCTTGCATGCATGAGGCTCTGGGTTCAATTCCTCAGCACCATATAAGCAGGAAAAGCCGGAAGTGGTGCTATGGCTCAAGTGGTAGTGCGCTAGCCTTGAGCTGAAGAGCTGAGGGACAGTGCACAGGCCCAGAGCTCAGGCAATGACAAACAAAACAAAACCAAACCAAACAAAGGTCAGGGACAGTGCAGAGTTCAAGCTCCAGGACCAGCCCCCCCCCCCAAAAAAAAATATATATATATTTTTAGTCCACTGACCAAATATCTTGTTACTTCCTCGTAGTCAGATTGTAGGTGTTAAATAGCCCAAACACTGCTAAACCAGTCTGCCTTTTTATTCTTTCAAGCAGGAACTTCCTCTCCAATCTATAAAAGGCCTAGAAATGAAAAGTCCTGCCTTGAGGCAAGCTCATTTGAGCACTCTACCCTCAGGGTCGCTGGAACTTTAAGTTACTGGTTAACCTGGTAACCTTAAGATGTGGTTGATAAAAATAAATGGTGACATCAGATGCTGGGGGCTCTAACTTGTAACCCCAGCTATTTAGAGGGCTGAGATCTGAGGATCCCGGTTCAAAGCCAGCTGGGGCAGAAAAGTCCCTGAGACTCTTATCTCCAATAAACCACTAGAAAACCAGAAGTGGTGCTGTGGCTCCAGTGGTAGAGCGTTAGCCTTGGGTTGAAGAGCTGAGGGAAAACACCCAGGCCTAGAGTTCAAGCCCCATCACCAACTAGATAGATAGATAGATGGATGGATGGATGGATGGATGGATGGATGGATGGATGGATGGATGGATGGATGGATAGATGGATAGATAGATAGATAGATAGATAGATAGATAGATAGATAGATAGAACAGTGATGTGGGAAATATATAGATACATCTCTTCATCACATGAATTGACCTAGAGGCGGGAGAAGGTGGCTCACGCCTGTAATCTTAGCTACTCAAGAGGCTGAGATTTGAGGATCAAGGTTCAAAGCCAGCCCAGGCAGGAAAAGTCTGTGACTCTTATCTCCAATAAACCACTAGAAAACCAGAAGCGGCACTGTGGCTCAAGTGGTAGAGCACTTGCCTTGAGCTGAAGAGTGCAGAGACAGTGCCCAAGCCCAGAGTTCAAGCCCCATGACCCACTAAAAAAAAAAAAAAGAATTGACCTGAGCTGAAGACAACCAGGAAGAAATACACAGAAAAACTATCTTCTGTTTGCTTAAAAGTAGGACACAAGTTTACAAAGACCAAAGGTCACCTATGTGTGCCCTCAACCAAGGAGGACAAAAGTTAGCCATTAACGACAACTTTGAACCTACAGGCCTAGAGATAGCAACCGCAGCTCCATTAGCATGCTCTATTAACTAGCCTTTACCTGCCACTGACCCCGCTACCAATTTCAAAAGCCTTTTCTCTTGTTGGCTTATCTATTGCTTTTCTTTCTTTCTTTTTTTTGCCAGTCATGGGCCTTAACTCTGGGCCTGGGCACTGTCCCTCAGCTCTTCAGCTCAAGGTTAATGCTCTACCACCTGAGCTACTGCACCACTTCTGGCCTTTTCTGCTTATGTGGTGCTGAGGAATCAAACCCAGGGCCTCATGCATGCAAGGCAAGCACTCTACCAGTGAGCCACCTTCCCAGCCCTATCTATTGCTTTTCTGAAACTACAATTTTTTTCTTGTTGTTAAAAATATTACATACTTTGTATATAACCTTTTTTTCCTGTTTTCCTAATCTATTTAAAAATTTTAAAAAAATTTATTGTTGCTAGGTGCCAATGGCTCACGCTTGTAATCCTAGCTAGGAGGCTGAGATCTGAGGATCACGGTTCAAAGCCAGCATGGACAGGAAAGTCCGTGATACTATCTCCAATAAACCATCAGAAAACCGGAAGTAACTCTGTGGCTCAAGTGGTAGAGTACTTAAGCTTGAGCTGAAGAGCTCAGGGACAGTGGCCAGGCCCTGAGTTGAAGTCCTACAACTGACAAAAAAAGAAAAGAGAAAACTTATAAAAGAGGGGAGTTAGCAAGGGAAAAACTGGGAGAAAATGAGGGAGGGAGTGATACTTTCAAAAGGAAATGTGCTCATTACCTGACTTATGTAACTGTAACCCCTCCTCTGTATGTAACCTTTACAATAAAATTTAAAAATTCATAAAAGTAGAAATATAAAAACTCAAAATTCTTCTAGCCAAACAATCATAAACTATGTGTGTTTCTCTGAAAACTCTTTGCTTACCTGTTCAATGACAGTTTTTAGCCACCACTGAGGCCCCATCAGCGTGATCGCTGCAATGATTTTGGCATGCAGGACTCCGAGTGCCCAGTCCTAGGGTAAGAAACATTTTCGGCGTTATGTGTTGTTTTTCATTCTTACACTGTTTTACTTCAAAATGGAGGTTTTGCATGACTAGTGACCGTTTTACAGAAGATCAACATGTAACAGCTTAAGTTTAATCCTATCACAACTCCTTAGGTGCAATCTTTCAGAAATCTACATTTCCTTACAGTAATTAGAAAAAGTCTGGACATTAATAGAAAAAACCCTATAAGTAAATAAATTCTAGCTTTATTTCATCAACTATTCTTAGTGTTTGCTACCCCCCACCTTTTTTAGTCAGTCGTGGGTTTGAACTCCAGAGTTTATGCACTGTCTCTGAGCTTTTATGCTCAAGGCTGGCACTCTACCACTGAGCCACAGCTCTTGCTTCTTTATTAGTTTACTGAAGATAAGACTCTTGGGGGGGGGGGGGGGGGGGGGGGGATGGAGTCTCATGGACTTTCTTGCCCAGGCTGTCTTCAAACCGTGATCCTCAGATCTCAGACTGTTGAGAAGCTAGGATTATAAACATGAGTCACCAGCACCTGACTCTATTCTTTTTTTTTTTAAACCAAGATATAGCATTCACTAGCTGTGCATGGGTTAGAAAGGGCTTATATAGATGTTCAGTTGTACCTTAAGCCTCCTGACTTCTGGGATGACTGGCAGGCACCAGTGCATTAGGTCTTGTGTCTATTATTCATTCTAGCAAAAAAGAAGATATCGCATGGGGAATTTCAGGCTCCTTAACATTAGAAAGGGCTTATTATAGGTTTTCAGCTTTTGTTAGTAATTTAAGGAGGGATTTATGGATGCAGGGCCTTGTTCTGTATCACACACTTTAAAGTCAGAGTAATCTAGGACTAGCTATCCTAATAGACTTTCCGTTTGTTTGTTTTTTGGGGTCTGGCCGTGGGCCTGAACTCTGGGCCTGGGCACTGTTCCTCAGCTCTTCACCTCAAGGCTAGCATTCTCCACTTGAGCCACAGAGCCACTTCTGGCTTTTTATTTTTCTGCTTATGTGGTGCTGAGGAATCGAACCCAGGGCCTCATGCATGCAAGGCAAGCACTCTTACCACTGAGCCACCGTCCCAGCCCACCAATAGACTTTCTGTAGAAAAGAGACAGACTGATATTGAAGCAGCAGCGTGTTCTATCAACAAGAGAAGGGGATGGTATGGACAATGTTTCTGACTACAGAGGGTAGTCCTCTGTCTCTTGATCTATCAGGGTTAGTGATGTTCAGTGCTGATGTTCTGTGAAACGGTGTCTAACAGCTCCAGGGGGGCAGGTAACAACAGCCTAGCTCCTCAATGGCAGAGCTGACCACTACAGCATTAGAAGACATGTAATGTCCTTTTTCCTTCTCATACTAGGAATAATTACTGCCAGCAGTACCTGCCTGACTCTTCCCACTGTAAAGTTGTCTTTCCCTTTGAGACTATCAAGTACTCTGTAAAGTGACAGGTTTGCCCTCACATAAATAACCATCGTCCATTCTACTGGTATCAAAACATGCCCCCAAATTCTTCTCCAATCAAAAACCAGATCTACGTTCCCTTGAGTCTGAGCCAAACTTTGTGATCCTGGAACTATCATGATGTAGCAAAAAGTGATACTGTAAGCTGGTGCTTGTGGATCACATCTGTAATCCTAGTTTCTCAGGATGCTGAGACTGGAGGGTCACAGTTCAAACCCAGGTAGGTCAGGGAAGTCTGAAACTCTTTACACACACACACACACACACACACACACACACACACACTCTCACTCACTCTCACTCACTCACTTTTCACTTTAGCTGAAGTAGTATAGCACCAGCCTTGAGAGAAAAAGCTAAGGGACAGTATCTAATCCCTAAATTCAAGTCCCAACACCAGCACAGAAAAAAAGACTAAAGACATAAAGAGCAAAATACTTTAGTCCAAAATTGAAAAGATTTATATTTACATATTTAAATACTGAATAAGCCTAAATAGTGGGTTATTTTAACCTTTAATATGAACAAAAAGGTGCTATGTGATCTTTACCTTTTTTTTCTTGTTTTTGTGGTATTAGGGTTTGAACTCAGTCTTGAGCTTGCTGAGCAGAAAAACTCCTACTAAGTCATGCCCGAGTCCTTTATCGTTTATTTTTCACATAGTGTTTCTCCATTTATGCAAGGTCTTGCCGGGATAGTGAGCCTCCTATTAACACTTCCCCCATGTAGGTAGGATAGGCATGTACCACTATGTCAACTTTTTACTAGATGAAATGAGCATCTCATAAACATTTTGTCTACACTGATCCCAAACCATGGTCCTCCTGATCTACCTCCTACATAGCTAACTAACTTATAGGTCTAAGGCCACTACACTCAGTGACCTGTAACTTTTAAAAGCCAAAGATTAGCTGGGTACCTATAATTATGGCATATGCCTATAATCCTAGTTGCTCAGGAGACTGAGATCTGAGGACTGCTGTTCAAAGCCAGGCAGAGTAGGAAAGTCCATTAGACTCTTATTTTCAATGAACCACAGACTTCACATGAAGCCAAGGCTCAAGTAGTAGAACACTAGAGTTAAGCAAAAGAACACAGAGACAGCATCCAGACCCTAAGTTCAAGCCCCAGAACTGGGACACACACACACACACACACACACATACACACACACGCGGGCGTGCACACACACTCTCTCTCTCTCACTCATGCACGCATGCAAGCACACACAAAGACTAAAGGGAATTTTTCAAGATTCCTCAACCATAAAAATCATTTGACATAATTAAGAATATTTTTCTGATCCCAAATACCTAAAACACAAAACCAAAAACATCTATCTATCTCATAAGCCAAAAAGATGCACTTACCTGCCATGGATAAAAAAGAGGAGTCTGATCCAAAGGTACACGCAGGGGAGCAACAATAACCAGCTCAAACAGGAGCCCCAAAAGGAGTGGGACAACTCCAGCCAGTAGTACCGCAACTATTAAAGTCTTCATTATCTATTAGGAAGCAAGGGACCTTGTCACTGGAGGAGCTCCTTGACTCACACTACTGACGTCCAGGTTTATTTTCCCCTTTGATCTGATACCTAACAGCACAACTATATTACCTTTATCCCTCTGTTCTTCCTCCTCCTGCCTTCCCTTCTTTGAAGTACTGGGATGAACTCAGGGCCTTGTGTTTGCTAGGCAGTTGTTCTGCCACTTGGGACACACATCCTACTTATACACGTTATGTGCTTAACTATATGAGCTCAAGCAAAAATGAAAACCTGAAATCACTAGGCACTGTCACTACAAAAGGGATTGTATAGAAAATTCATTTTTCCTATTAGCCAGGCAGGCGGCTACACTATTTCCTCCCAGTTTCATTATCTGTACTAGGCTTTTGTCTGCCAAAGAGAAAGCAGTGATAGAGCTGGGTGCCTATGGCTCATGCTTAGCTACTCAAGAGACTGAGATCAGAGGATCACAGTTCAGTGCTAGCTCGTGCAGGAAGTCCATAAGACACTCATCTCCAAATAATTTGAGCTATGGTTCAAAGTGATAGAGCACTAGCTTTGAATGGAAGAGCTCAAGGACAGTGCCCAGGCCTTGAGTTCAAGGCCCAGACTGACACACACAAAATAAGGAAGGGAGAGTGATTTTTCTTCTGGCCTAACAGTGGTCCAACTCACAGGTCCTACCTCTGAGATGGACTGGTATAGGGGAAGATCTCTAATTTTATTAATGTAATTAATGTAATTCCTTTAGAATAGTTTGATCCAAGAGAACACATTATCAAAATGGTCTGCATCTGTCCAATACATGTAGCCACATAGTGTATTTGACATTTTCCACCAGGTGAAAATGAGCAAAGGGACAAAAGTGAAGTAGCAACTACAAAGTCCTGACAATGAAATCATTCTTTTTTTTTTTTTTTGAGGGGGGGGGGGAGTCTGGTCATGGGAACTCTGGGCCTGGGTGCTGTCCCTCAGCTCTTCAGCTCAAGGCTAGCGCGCTACCACTTGAGCCATAGCACCACTCCCGGCTTTTTTCCCCCTGCTTATGGGGTGCTGAGGAATCGAACCCAGGGCCTCATGCATGCAAGGCAAGTGCTCTACCACTGAGCCACCTTCCTAGCCCAATGAAATCATTCTTTAAAGTAGTTTTGGGCCAGGCAAGGTAGCTCACACCTATAATCATAGCTACTTGGGAGATGAATATCATGGATGCAGGTTGGCTTGGGGAAAAGTTAGCTATATCATCTCCTCGAATAGGCAAGGTATGATGGTGCATACTTGCCATTCTAGATATTTGGGGAATGTATATAGGAAGACTGAAGTCCCAGGGCAGGCAAAAACACAAGGCCCTATGGAAAAGCAAAGCAAAGCAAAGCAAAACAATGACTGAAGGTATGACTCAAGTGTTACACTGCCTGCCTAGCTGGCCAAGAGGCCCCTGAGTTCAAACCCAAGTATAACCCCCAAAATACTAGCCTAGAATTTTTTTTGGGGGGGAGGTCCGGTCGTGGGGCCTGAACTCTTGGTCTGGGCACTGTCCCTCAGCTCTTTAGCTCAAGGCTAGCGCTCTACCACTTGAGCCACAGCACCACTTCCGGCTTTTTTCTTTTTGCTTATGTGGTGCTGAGGAATCGAACCCAGAGCCTCATGCATGCAAAGCAAGTGCTCTACCACTGAGCCACCTTCCCAGCCTCTAGTCTAGAATTTTGATAGTATCTGGTTCATGGTAAATTGTGGTAATAGGTTAGAATATCAAATGAAAACCAGAGTTAGCTGATTTTTACTCTTTGAATAGAGTTTGAATATAGTTGTGTCTCTTCTTAAATAGCATTTAAACCCCTATGCTTCTAAAATACAACAACTCCCTCTTTATAAAATGGATTTTATTAACATTAAGTAGGAATATGAAGTGTGCTGATTTGACCAATACACACTGTATATTTGTACTGAATTATCACAAGGTACCACATTATTTATACAGTTATTATTATACAATGGTTGCAACTACTAGAAAAGATCATTCTGTTGTAATAAAAACCTACCATGAGAGACCACTCTTTAACCTTCTGGAAGATCACTCTGCGCCCCTGGGGCATCCATGCCACCAGCACTGTCACAGCCCTTATGGTTAGCCAACAAACGTAAAGACCGCAGGCAGCTGTGTAGAGCTCATGGATTTTGGCAGTCCCCGTCCAAAATGACATTAACCAACGGCCAGCAAATACTGAAAATAGAAAGGCTGACAAATGAGACATGTGGCCAGGTAAAGAGATCTGTAATCTGGATATCTAATTAGCATCTTTACATTAGAAAAAATAAGAAACTCAATCTTTAATAATATAATTATTTCACTAAAGCAAAACTAAAACAAGAAGTCAGTGGGATCTAGCTCCTCTAAGGGTATGTGTCTTGATTTGCCATGCCATTATATGCTCTTTCTAGCCTGAAAAGGCTTCCAAGGGATTGTTTTCATTGTTTTTAACACCAACTAAATTATGCACATAATAAAAAGTGAAAAATGGGGCTGGGAAGGTGGCTCAGTGGTAGAGCGCTTGCCTTGCATGCATGAGGCCTTGGGTTCAATTCCTCAGCACCACATAAGCAAAAAGAAAAAAGCCGGAAGTGGCGCTGTGGCTCAAGTGGTAGAGCGCTAGCTTTGAGCTGAGGGACAGCGCCCAGGCCCAGAGTTCAGGCCCCACGACTGGACCCCCCATCCCCCTAAAAAAAAGGTGAAAAATTTCTTTTCCTTTCTACTATTTGTAGTATCAACACTTAAATATTTAGGACCATTACAAATTTAGAGTCACTTTCTTCCAAATTTATCATCATTTATCATCACAGAAACTTACCTTACTTTAATACTTGTGAACATAATGGCACAATAACATTTTAAAGCACAACAATCAAAGAATGCCATATAAACTTACTCTGAGAAAATTAAAACCACTTACACATACTGTAATGTAAAAGATATAGACTTACAAGCTAGAGGTTGTTAGAAATAAATTCTATAGTATACCCATGCAATTGCTCAGGTAAGATCATTTAATTTAGTAAGTTTCTTTACAAAATTACTTTTCAATAATGCTTAAGAGAACAAGACAACTCTCTAGTGTGGTGGTGGTGGTGGTGGTGGTAGCGGTAGTGGTGATGTCTGGTTTCTTTTTTGTTGTTTGGGTTTTTCTTTTTTGGTTTTTGCTATGTATTGCCATCCTGTAATATCATGATGCTACTTCTGAATACCTGAAGGAACAAAAAAAGCTCCATAGTCAGCCATTTTGAGTAGATTGCCAACTCAAAAAATAGCTTTGGCTAGGCGCCAGCAGCTCAAACCTGTAATCCTAGCTATTCAGGAGGCTGAGCTCTGAGGATCTTGGTTCAAAGCCAGCCCATGCAGGAAAGTCCATGAGACTCGTATGTCCAATTAACACCAGAAAACTGGAAGTGGTGCTGTGGCTCAACTGGTAGAGTGCTATCCTTAAGCTGAAGATCTCAGGGACAGCGCCCAGGCCCTGAGTTCAAGCCCCACAACTGACCAAATAAAAGCTTTGGTGTATAAATTCTTTTAAAGATAAATGCTAGGCAAAGAGGTATAGCTCAGTGGGAAAGTTATACTTGCCTAAGATGTGCAATTTCAGCATTAATAGTAATAGTAAAAATAATTAGTTCAAAAGACTAATAATTGTAAAGTTGTGTGAAATAAGCATAAATTCTTGTCAAAGATATCAAAACCATCATTGGCAAATCTCGAGGTATGTTTCAACTTAGGGTTTTGTTTCTGAGGTTTTCACATGTGTTTTAAGTCACTTTTTATTCTGTACTTCACATACCCTCTCATCAAGAACACATGTGTTGTAAAGCTAGATGTGATAGTATATGCTATATTCCCAGCAATGCAGGAAGCCACAGGGAAAAGGAACATAGTTGAGGCCCAGGCAGAAAACTTGAGACCCTATCTGAAAAATAACTAAAATGGGAGCCAGGCGCAAGTGGCTCATGTACATAATACTATTTAGAAGGCTCTTGAGCACAAAGAGGCTCAGGGACAGCACCGAGGTCCTGTTTCAAGCTCCAGTACTGGCAAAAAACAAATGGGGAGGGGACATGGCTCAAGTGGTAAAGCACGTGCCTAGCAACGTCAGGTGCCCTGAGACTAAACCTCAGCGTTTAAGGGGAAATAATTTAGTTAAGTGAATCTACATTACCAAATAAAATCATGAAGATTTGATTTCATTCTATTATTATTATTATTATTATTTATTGTCAGTTGTGGGGCTTGAACTCTGGGCTTGGGCACTGTCCCTGCGCTCTTCAGCTCAAGGCGCTCTTCAGCTCAAGGAGAGCGCTCTACCGCTTGAGCTATAGTGCCACTTCCCTTTTTCTAGTGGTTTGTTGGAGATAAGAGTCTCATGGACTTTCCTGCCCGGGCTGGCTTTGAACCGTGATCCTCAGATCTCATCCTGAGTAGCTAGGATTACAGGTGTGAGCCACCAGTGCCTGGCTTCCTTTGTTAATTTTTAAAAGATATTTCTGGTAAAAACATAAAAATGACACATAAAACCACAATTACTAAACTCAAATAGTTAAAACTTCTTCATTTTAACAGCTATGATTTTAGTAAGCTAAAGAACAAAGTCTTATAAAAGTTAAAAAAATAATTACGCAAGTAGCACTGGTGGATCATGCATGTAAACCTATTCAGGCTCATCTCCAATTAACTATCAAAAAGTTGGAAGTGGAGACATGGCTGAAGTATACCAGTCTTGAATGAAAAAGCCAAGGGAGACACATAAAGACCTGAGTTCAAGTGACAGTTGCCAGCAGGCATACATGGATGTACACACACACACACTATTATACAGAAACAGCACAATTATTTTTTCCAGTTGAATGGACAAAATAAAAAAAATTATTTTTTGGTGTCAGTCGTGGGGCTTGAACTGTGGGCTTGGGCGCTGTCCCTGCACTCTTCAGCTCAAGGCAAGCACTCTACTGCTTGAGCCACAGCGCCACTTCCTGTTTTTGAGTGGCTTATTGGAGATAAGAGTCTCATGGACTTTCCTGCCTGGGCTGGCTTTGAATGGCGATCCTCAGATCTCAGCCTCCTGAGTAGCTAGGATTAGAGGCGTGAGCCACCAGCGCGCAGCTTCGACAAAATCAAATTTTAAATTAAAAAATCTTTCTTAGCCAGGTGCTAGTAGTTCAAGCTAGCTACTGAGGAGGTTGAGATCTAAGGATCATGGTTCATAGCCAGCCTGGACAGGAAAGTTCTTGAGACTCTTTATCACCAATTAAGTACTGGAAAACTGGAAGTGGAGCTGTGGTTCAAAGTGGTAGAACACTAACCTTGAGCAAAAGTATTCAGGGACAGTACCCAGGTCCTTAGTTTAAGCCCCATGACCAACCAAAAGAACCACACAGACAGACAGACAGACAGACAAAGACAGAGAGAGAGAGAGAGAGAGAGAGAATATGCTAGCCTCGAGCTGAAGGACAGTGCCCAGGTCCAGAGTTCAAGCCCCATGACCAACAAAGAAAGAAAGAAAAGAGAAAGGAAAAAAAAAAAAGAGTTGGAAATTATCCTCCACTTTATGCTCACCTAAGTGGTTAATACCTATCAACTTGATTTACCATTTTTCCACACTTACTGTGGATGAGGAAAAGGGGAGATAAGGAAATGAGGATCCAGTTATCGCACATGTCCCTGACTTCTGGACACTACCTTCAACCAGAATGTCTTAATTAATTAGATGGCGTTAACATCTGAAATTTCTAATAATGCCAGAAAAGATTAGGATGTGAGTACTAGATTATAAAGAAAAATAGTCTGGCTTTATAATATTATCTAGAGCAGCATGCAAAATTACATAATAAGAGCAAACAAAGTTAACATCAAAAGATAGCTTAAAAAATTAAGTCAGCTGGGCACTGATGGTTCACACCTGTAATCCTAGCTACTCAGGAAGCTGAGGATCAAGATTTGAAGCCAGCCTGCTCAGAAAAGTCTGTGAGACTCTTTCTCCAATTAACCAACAGAAAATCAGAATTGGAGCTGTGGCTCAAAATGGTAGTGCTAGCCTTAAGCAGAAAAGCTCAGGGATGTCACCTAGGCCCTGAGTTCAAGCCCTACCCCTACCACTACCACTACCACCACCACCACCACCACCACCAAAAAAGTAATAAAAATGTATTGAAAAAAATTGGACTGTAATACAGCCATGAAAACTGAATGATGATTGCTTTATTCTCAAACTCAACTCATAAGTTTTGTCTTTACTTTGTCTGCCTATGAGCCAGTATGGAGTCCAATGCTCCAATACGAGTCAAGTAAGATAAAGGATTCTAAATGGATCATTATTCTATATGCAACTAGACATGAAATAAATCTTTTAAATTTATATTTGATTAAAAAAATCAAATCTTGCAAGACATAACTTTAAAGAAAAATAATGTAGATGCTAACAGCTGAAAGCTAGGTAAACATACCTGGTAAAGTAAGGCAGATGAGGCTGGCAATCAGTAATGTTATGCACATGAAGACAATCAACAGAAATATCTGCAAGGTAAAAATAACAAAGACATGATTCATATGTCCTCAATGTAGTTAATGACAGCCCTTAAAGAAACAACACAATTTTCTTATTAAAAAGAAACTGTCAGCCATTCAACAGTGGTTCACACCTGTAATCCTAGCTATTCAGGGGGCTAAGACTTTTGGATTGTGCTTGAAAGCTGGCCTAGAAAGAAAAGTCTGTGAGACTCTTACCTCCAATTAACCACCAAAACAGCCACAAGTAGAGCTGTGACTCAAGTGGTAGAGCACCAGCCTTGAGCAAAAAAGCTCAGGAACAGTACTCAGGCTCTGAGTTCAAGCCCCAGAACCAGCACAAAGGGGAGGAGGGACACTGTCTTCAAAAACAAAAACAGACCAGAAAGACTAGGAGGGGAGAAGGGACAGAAGGAGGAAGAAAGGAAGGATTGTATTTGTATTTCTAAGGTTCTTTCAATTTCACATAAAAAGAACTTTAAGGGGCTGGGAAGGTAGCTCAGCGGTAGAGCGCTTGCCTTGCATGTATGAGGCCCTGGGTTCGATTCCTCAGCACCACATAAGCAAAACAGAAAAAAGCTGGAAGTGGCACTGTGGCTCAAGTGGTAGAGCGCTAGCCTTGAGCTGAAGAGCTGAGGGATAGCGCCCAGGCTCAGAGTTCAGGCCCCACAGCAGGACCCCCCAAAAAATAAATAAATAAATGAAGCTGGGCACCTACTAATAAAAAGACTGAGATCTGAAAATGGGATTAGAATCTAGTTTAGGCAGGAAAGTTCATGAGATTCTTATCTCCAATTAACCACCCACAATCTGGAAGTGGAAACGTGGCTCAGGTTGTAGAGTACAGTCATGAGCAAAAAAAAAAAAAAAGCCTAAAAAGAGTTCAAGGCACTGAATTTAAGTCCCAGTACTGAGGGAGTGGGGAGTGTCAATGTGATCACATAGTACCTTTGTATATCAGGGGGGAGAGGGAGGGAGCCGAGGAAAAAAGGGAGGAAGGGAAAGTGAGGGAGGGAAGACCAGAGAATGAGAATGAGAGAGAAAAGAGAGAAAGAGAGAGAGAAAGAGAGAAAGCAGGAAACATAATACAGTGCTGACTAGGGTACATGATGTTCAAAGCCCTTCACTCTGACTCATTAACTACCCAAGAACCCCATCTTTCACTGTTCCCCTTGTATATACTCCACTCTCTAAATATATTTGAATCTGTGGGTGCAAGCCTGCCAAGTCTAATGGGCCTGTTCCTGGGATATGCTGCATCATAAAGGTAATAAAACGTGAGTTTGACATAGTTATACAACTTAATGCCAAAAGCATTAATTCTCAACAAATTGAAGGAAAACAATTCTGGCTAAGTCCATATAGTACCTACCCTGAGTGGAAAATGTAAAGGCCGGCGGTAAGGCTGAAAGCCGACGGGACCGCCCTGCTGGAGTATGGCTTGGTGGGCTGCATGCAGGCCTTCCCCAACCACAGGAATAGCATTATTTCGAGCATGCTGGTTATTGTTAACTTGTTGGTTTGCACTGTTCTCATTTTCTTCCTGGTCTCCCAATAAATAGGAATGAAGATCCCTGTGCCAAAAAATTACATTAATGGAAAGTGTCACTTCAGGTCAGAATAAAAATAACAGACACAATACTTAAGTTTCTTCCTAAAAACTTTTAGAGTAACATAAAGAGGAAAGCAAAAAGGCAAGCTCGGAGGGGGAGCTCCTGGGAATCGTGGTGGCTACAACAGGAGGGGCAGCACGTCACAGTGGGGTAATGGTGGAAGTGGTGGGTGGCCCTGTGCTTCCTGGCTGAGGTGGCTACTCAAGTAGACAGAATTACAAGAGAGATGGAATGCCCAACAGAGGGAACTATACCTAGAATTTCAGTGGACAAGGAAACAATCATGGTTAGAAAAATCCATCTGAGGACTGCAACCAGGGGCAGCAGGGTCAGCTCTGAGGTCACAAGGCTAAGCAGGAGGATCACAAATTCAAAGTTAACTTGGACTTCCCAGTGCTCTCAAGGCCAACATGGGCAACTTAGTAAGACTTTGTCTCAAAACAAATATTGGAACAGTGCTGGAGATGTAGATGAATGTTCTGGCTTCAAACCCTAGTTCCAGAGAAAGGAGGAGTGTGGGAGAGAAAGAGAGGAAGGACACAAGTGGCATCCACGTCTAGGGAGTTGGCTGCCCATACTCACAGCAAGTACCCAGCAGTAACCGTCCACGCTCGCACAAGCCCCTTCAGCCACTGCCTCGTATGTCCTTGCTCCAGTAACGCGGGCAAGACAACCTGAAGCAGAAGCAGCTCAAGGGACAGTTCACTCACTGGAGCATCACTAAGACAATTGCAAAAAGCCATGAATTACTATGAGTTCTATCTTCCATTATAACTAGAATATTCCAGATATTTAATGAGATTTAAAAAATAAAAGTCAAATGAACTCAGTTTCTCCTTACATCCTCCATTTTCTCTCCAATTCACTACGGCTTTACCCAGAAATCCCACTAAATTTGTTCCTGGTAAGAGTTGCCAATGCCCTCTATGTTGCTAAACTGATGCTCAGGTTTGGTGCTTTGTTGTACTAGCATACTTATATATGCATATATTACATGTATCTATAATATACACTAATATCTAACACACACACACACACACACACACACACCCCATGCTCTCCTCATAACACTTTCTCCCTGAACATCTTCCAAGATCAATTTGTTCCCCTTCATCTTCCCAATCTGGGAACAATGAAGGGCTCATGCTTTGTCCTCTCTCAAGCTTGCTCTCTGTGTAAATTTGACCTTGAAATATCACCGTGATATTTCCATCTACTACTGAGCAATCTTCCCTAACTCCTTTTTTTTCCCTCTTTTTCTTTGTTGGTCGTGGGGCCTGAACTCTAGGCCTGGGCGCTGTCCCTCAGCTCTTCACCCCAAGGCTAGTGGTCTACCACTTGAGCCATAGCACCACTTCCGGCTTTTTCTCTTTTTGCTTATGTGGTGCTGGGGAATCAAACCCAGGGCCTCATGCATTCAAGGCAAGCGCTCTACCACTGAGCCACCTTACCAGCCCCAGCTTCCAATTTTGGTTGGTTAATTGGAGATAAGAGTCTCACAGACTTCCTGACCAGACTGGCTTCAAACAGTAATCCTCAGATCCCAGCCTTCTGAGGAGCTAGGATTACAGATGTGAGCCACTGATGCCAAGCTGAGGGATTTCTTGATTCTTGTTTTGTTCACTGTATCCAGCACATATTTTGAACCCTAAATTCTAATACTTAGAATAAAAAAGAGCTTTGTAAACTTTAAGGTATAACCTATTTATCCCAATGGGTTTACCCCAATAGTACATAAAGCCAGATTATTTATTTATTTACTGTCTGTCATGGGGCTTAAACTACGGGCCTGGGCACTCCCTCAATTCTTCAATTCAAGGCTAGCGTAGAGCTAGATTTTTGTTTCCTGGATCTCACACTATTTCTCAAGTAAAAAATGAGAGAATTAACCTCTAAACTGACAAAAGTCTTAACCTTATATATATTAAAAAAAAATCTATTTCAAGAGTAATTGTTTAAAAAGTAAAAGACATGTTCCATTTTGAATGAGTCCCTAGTATTTTTCTGCCATTTAAAAAAAAATCAAGACACAAATCTAATTTAATTAAGAGTTCTAATTTAATGAATACAAATCTGAGATTTTACTGCATATGCAACAATAAACCTTTTGTTTTTGAACAATTATGGTCCTGCTATAAGACATTAAGATGCAAATAAATTATTTCTTTTATCCTGGATAAAACAATAAATATTTTTAATATAATATAATGAATGCTATAAAAAGAGTTAGGTTTAACAATGGAGACAGTTGGTTAGGAGAAATAAAATCTTTTTTTTTTTTTTTTTGGGTCCGGTCGTGGGGCCTGAACTCTGGGCCTGGGCACTGTCCCTCAGCTCTTCAGCTCAAGGCTAGCGCTCTACCACTTGAGCCACAGCGTCACTTCCGGCTTTTTTCCTTTTTGCTTATGTGGTGCTGAGGAATCGAACCCAGGGCCTCGAGAATGCAAGGCAAGCGTTCTACCACTGAGCTACCTTCCCAGCCCAGGAGAAATAAAATCTTAACTGGATTTTTGAGCAAAAACAAAAGTTTAGCAAGCAAATATAAATAAAAGACAAAGGAACAGTGAAAAACTCAACAGCAGCATGACATGGCTACGAAACAAAGTCCATATAAGACAATGCTGGACTTGGGGCTGGGAAGGTGGCTTAGTGGTAGAGCGCTTGCCTTGCATGACTGAGGCCCTGGGTTCGATTCCTCAGCACTACATAAGCAAAAAGGAAAAAGCCGGAAGTGGTGCTGTGGCTCAAGTGGTACAGCGCTAGCCTTGAGCTGAAGAGCTGAGGGACAGCGCCCAGGCCCAAAGTTCAGGCCCCACGACTGGACCCAAGACAATGCTGGACAATATGCTAATAGGCAGTGTTATAACATGTCTACTGATCTAGATAATATCATATATAGTGCACAGAAACTGCTTATAATTAAACAGAGGAGTAACATAATCAAATATTTAGACAAGCTAGAAGCAGCAGTGTAGGAAATAGCTTGTAAGTAGAGAGCAAAAAAGGGGCTTAAGTAAGAGGTATATCAAATGGATCAGTAAGAGATCTTCACATCAGAATTGACAATACTTAAAAGATGTATAGAAGTAAATTTGGGAAAGCAAGCCCCCTGTGTTCACTAGGGATGATACTATGGGACAGTATAAACCACTAAAAAGGGACTATAAGGAAGAAGTATACAGATTAGGCCACAGGTAAATTAAAATTAAACCTTACATCCTGTTTTCTTAATTGGTATATATTATACACAGACGTTTCATCATAACATCTACACATAATATACTTTGATCATATTCACACACTCTATTATCCCTCCTTTACTCCTATATCCTATTCTTAATCCATAATTAAATGTGCACCTTTGGCTTCATTCCTTATGGTGTGCTTTTCAATGATGCTATTAATATACTCCCATTAAGTGGTAAAACACTCCAATGCTGAACAAATACACACTATATGCAGAAAAAACTAGCAAACTAATATTCATGTGATCTACAATATGACAAGATGTAACTGTGAGATGATTTCTAAAATCTGTAAGAAATGTATATTTTAAATGTTTGCTGTAATCTGAGTATTAAATCCTACCAGTGATAAGTAAAGCTTTCTAACTTTTCAAGACTTCCATGTAGGGATGCAGGCACAGTTGTCCTAACATACATGAACCCCTGCATTCAATTCCCAGAACCACAAAAAATTAAAAGCAAAACTTACCTATAGAGCATGACATTGTAGGGAAGAAAATTAGGCAGTAGACTCTTAATTATGCGTATAGGAAGCCAAAGCATCAGGAGTACAATGGAGCCAAAGACAATCTGCAGAAAGAAATGACACAACCCCACTGTAAGTACTTGTCACTCCCATGAAGAAAAGTGGGCTTCCAAACATATGCAACCAAGTCCAAGCCGGTGTCACTCAAAAGTGGAGTGATCCTCCCCTGTACAAGAAATCCTTGGGTCACAGTGGGTAAAACTGTATGCTGAAGATGGCTACTCTTCTCGATAGAAGAGTTTGCCCTGCTCTCTAGTCACAAGAACTAAGATAAGAACCACGGGGTAATCAATGAACAGTGTGTACTTCTCTCTTATAAGAGAGAAGTACAACTCATTACAACTAAATAAATTACCTGTAACCATGTAAGACATGACCTATATTAAAGGCTATAAAAATTTCCAAAAGGGCTAAGGGGGTAGCTTAGGTAGAGCACCTGATTAGCAGCACACAAGGGGGGGTTAAATTTCCAGCACTGACATCAAATCAATCATTAAGTTTACAAAGAAAGCAATTGTATTTTGGAAAAACTTAAGATTTAACTAGCAATTCTTTCTTCCAGTTGGGGTAGAGTTTTTAGTTTCTTTCAATAGAGGCTTATTTTTTATTGATTTTCCCACCTTAGTCCCTTTTGCTTTTTTGAGACAAAGTCTTGCTATATATAACCTCGTCTGGCTTCAAATTCACATTCCTCCTGACTCTGCTTCCCAAGTACTGAGAACATGGGCATGCACCACCACATGTGACAACCTATTAATAGTTACTACTGCAAATTTAATGTAATATAGGCATCCACAATTTGACAAGTTATGACAAATTCATAATTTGGCATTTTTGCTTTATTATTTATTTTGAAGAATATAAACAATAAGACAAATACTTGACAAACTCTTCAAAAGCTTAGATATGTTATTCAATATGCTGTCCTCCTGATCTAAAAAATATTCTCCCAAAACAAAAAATATATATAAATAAAAATAACCATATATGTGAAAATTTTTAATCTGAAGATTTACTCACCACTGACAAAATAAATCTTCGGAGATGTCTATAAATAGGTAAGTGGATCATTTCTTGTACTGGGTTAAAATCTGGATCATTCAAATTCCTTAGAAACCACAAAACACCAGGTCGAAGTACCTGAAAATATATTTTGTTATAAACATTCAGTAATATCTTCAGGCTCTGTACATGAGCTATAACATTAACAGAAAACTATTCTGGCATCTAAAATGAGCCCCAGAAAATTCATGAGGAAAAAGAAAGTCCTAACTAGAACCTCTAAGAAAACTGCTCTGTTTGATGTTTATAAGTGATTCATTGGGTCTAACTTATAAAGAAATATAAGTTGGGAAATACAGCCATTACTAGTACTATTATTTTATCACCTCGTGTATCAAATACAACCACTAGTAATTTCATACATACTATTACTTTTTACTATTGTGTTGAATTCATACAACTATTAGTACTATTACTGTAGCACCTAATGTTATTGTATTAAATACATACAACCATTAATACATACTATTACTTATCACCTAGCAATATTATTGTGTTGAATACATACAACCATTAGTACATACTGTTATTATACCACCTAGTAATATTATTGTATCAAATACAACTGTTAGTATTACTGTAGTAATTGCATTACTTGGCAATTTATAAATGTCCACATAAGATCTGATTTCAGTCTTATGCTTCCCCAAAAGAGTTATCTTAAAGCTGGGCACCAGTGGCTCATGTCTGTAATCCTAGCTACTCAGGAGGCTGAGATCTGAGGATCGCCATTCAAAGCCAGCCCGGGCAGGAAAGTCCGTGAGACTCTTATCTCCAATAAACCACTAGAAAACCGAAGTGGTGCTGTGGCTCAAGCGATAGAGCGCTTGCCTTGAGCTGAAGAGTGCAAGGACAGTGCCCAGTGCCCAAGCCCAGACTTCAAGCCCCACGACCGACCAAAAAAAAAAAAAAAAGTTATCTTAATTAAGAAACACTTTATACTCTGTCTTTATTTCATTCCCTACATCCTCTTCCCCTTCTAAATGGGAAATCATCACACAAGAACTGTATGAGAGTTAATGGTAATAAGTAATAAGTGAGTCTGGGTTCTAGCCTGTCAAGATTCAAGTAATTCTACAATATACCTTGTATAAAGTATCTAATTTGCCAAAATCTCTATTTCTCCAACTAAAAGAGTTTTTGTCCCCATGGGGGGGGTGGGTGAGGAGGGCAGAAGGTAGAGTAGTACTAGGGTTTGAGCTTAGGTCCTTGCATGTGCTAGGCCGGCAGTCTAGCACTGAGTCATACCCTCACATAGGATCTCTAAGGCTTAACTCTAGGATTTTTTTTTTTAATTGGTTTTGGGGCTTGAACTCAGGGCCTGAGAGTAGTCACTGAGCATTTTTGCTCAAGGCTAGTGTTTTACTACTTTGAGCCACAGCTCCACTCCAGTTTTTAGATGCTTAACTAGAAATAAGAGTCTCTCAGCCTTTCCTGCCCAAGCTGGCTTTGAACTGAGATACTCAGATCTCAGTCTCCTGAACAGAGATTACAAGTAAGAATCATCAGTGTCCAGCTAATACTAGGATTCTTTACCAACAAAATTCTATCACGCTAACAAAATTTAAAATTCATCATAAAACATTGTATCTTACCACTTAACAGTATAATTTAAGAGTTAATGGGGGGCAGGGGGAGGCTGTGAAGGGATGGGAAGGGGAAACAAAGGAGGAGGCTACAATGCTTGATAAGAAATGTACTCATTATCTTGCCCATGTAATTGTAACCCTTCTGTACAGTATTTTCACAATAAAAAATAATTTAAAAAAAAAAGAGTTCAGACAATTGTAGTTTTGAAAAACTCATTCGAGGAGGTTGGGGATCTGAGCCCAATCGAAAAATACTTGCCTAGCAAGTGCAAGGCCCTGAATTCAGTCCTCCCCTCCACTGTATTTGTTGTTTAGTTCAGTCACTTCTTTCAAAGAAAAGAATACAAGCTTCCATTGCATGATTTGCCTCTTTCAAAGAGCAAAGTATACAGAAAACAGCATTCAGCCTTCATGATTTTTTTTTTTTGTCGGTTGTGGGGCCTGAACTCTGGGCCTGGGCACTGTCCCTCAGTTCCTCAGCTCAAGGCTAGCACTCTACCACTTGAGCCACAGCACCATTTCCGGCATTTTCTACTTATGTGGTGCTGAGGAATAGAACCCAGGGCCTTATGCATGCAAGGCAAGCGCTCTACCACTGAGCCACCTTCCCAGCCCCAGCCTTCGTGATTTTTGTATCCAATCCCCACTGTACATGTCAATTTGTTCCTTTAGCCCTGCACATCTCCATCACCAGTTTCAGTAGAATAAGCTGACTTGTTAATGATCTTGTTCATACCCAAGAACTGAGAACTGAAAGTATGCCTATATTTCTCACTATTACCCCTGCATGTAAGACACAATCTGATACCGAGTTTGTACTAATCTGCTTTCTCCATCTTCAAATCATTAAGAAGCAGATTCTGAAAACTGCATTAGTAAAGGTACTGATGGCAAGAAAACTAGCATCATAGTGGATCTTTATACTGTAATTCTATACTCAAGGTACCTATTTCAAAACCATTCTACATGTTCAATTCTTAAGTCCTTATCCTTTGGGATTATTTCCAGTATATCTCCTTTAATCTTAGTCCACAAACTTAAGAGTTTACATTATAGAGTAAGTAAGATAGGCACAAGATAAAGTACTTCCTCAATCTAATCATCTTTAAAATGTTCACCTTGACAACATCTTTATTTTCTGGTGCCGACCTCTGTGCTTGAACTCAGAGCTTGGGTGCTGTCCCTGAGCTTTATTTGCTCAAGGCTAGTGCTCCACCCCTTGAGCTACAGTTCTATTTCTAGCTTTTTGGTAGATTTGGGCCTCACAAACTTTACTGCCTGGGCTGGCTTTGAATGGCAATCCTCTCAGATCTCAGCTTAAGTAGCTAGGATTACAGGCATGAGCCACAGGTGCCCAGCTTACATTGACAAGTTTTTGACACAAACATCTGAAAATAGTTCAAAACAACCAAGCTAAGTTCCAATACCACAAACTATGTGTCAGGAAACCATTATAGCCTTTAAGCATGACTGATCGGCAAAGAAAAACTTCCTTTTCAAAAGCATGCAGTGTCAGCATTTCCCTGCTGAACTTACCTCTCTCAGTAACAAAATGAAGGAGGCAAAGTAGAACACATACACCATCCCGACTAGCCAATGTAGAAACATCGTAGTCCCTGGAGCTGACTGAAAACTCAGTTCTCGATCTTTTAAAGTAGCATCAAACATTTCCTAAGCCAAAAGTGAACAGGTAAGATTCGTACTACCTTACATTTGCCTAAGTAATATTTCCACCTTCCAAGAACTAAAGAATCTACACGAGGTGCAATTTTCTCAAAGTGCAGAGTTTACTGCCATTTACATGTATACAACATTTTAAAATTTTCAACATAAAGAATGACAAACCAATCAGTATACAACAGTTTTACTAATACTGTTATTGTTAATTTTTTTAAAGCTTATTTTCTGATAGTACTGGGGTTTAAACTCAGGGCCTCAGGCTTTGTTAAGCAGGCACTCTACTACTAAGCCATGCTTCCAGCTCTTTCTTTTTTTTTTTTTGGTTGGCCGTGGGGCTTGAACTCTGGGCCTGAGCGCTGTCCCTCAGCTCTTCAGCTCAAGGCGAGCGCTCTACCACTTGAGCTATAGCGCCACTTCCGGTTTTCTGGTGGTTTATTGGAGATAGGAGTCTCACGGTCTCTCCTGCCCGGGCTGGCTTTGAACCTCGATCCTCAGATCTCAGCCTTCTGAGTAGCTAGGATTACAGGCGTGAGCCACCAGCGCCCGGCTTTTTTCCAGCTCTTTCTTACACTCGTGTTTTTTGTCTTTACTGTACCAGGGCCTGGATACGGTCTCTGAGGTTTTTTGCTCAAGGCTGGTGCTTTACCACTTGACTCACAGCTCCACTTCCAGCTTTTTGATGATTAACTGGAGGTAAGAGTCTCACTGACTTTCTTGTGTGGGCTAGCTTTGAACCATGATCCTCAGATCTCTGCCTCCTGAGTGGCTGAGAATATAGGTATAAGCCACCAGCACGTAGGTACACTGGCTCTTTCTGAGACATCTGGCTTCCTGCTTAGGTGCTCACCTGGATCTGGACCATCTATTTTCAGCTTTCTGTTGTAGATGAGAAGACAGGCATATGCCACCATGTGGCACTTCCTGCCACTGACATAGTCTGTGGACTTTTGTGTATGGGCTGTCTTGGAGCCACAATCTCAGTCTCCTACATGGGAGGTAAGGCACATGCTACCTTATATAGCTGTTGGCTGTTAAAACGTTCACTATATATGTCTGGGCTGATCTTGAGCTGCAATCCCCCAAATCTCAGCCCCCTAGGTACCTAGTATTATTAGAATGAGCCACAGGTACCCAGCTTTAAAAACTATTTTGAGCGGGGCACTGGTGGCTCACGCTTGTAATCCTAGCTACTCAGGGGGCTGAGTTCTGAGGATTGAGGTTTGAAGCCAGCCCCGGCAGGCAGTAAAGCCTGTGAGACTCTTATCTCCAATTAACACCCAGAAAATAGCAAGTGGCACTGTGGCTCAAAGTGGTAGAGCACTAAGCCTTGAGCAATGAAGCTCAGGGACAATACCCAGGCCCTGAGTTCAAGCCCCATGATTGACCAACAAAACAAAACAATTTTTGATCAATATAGACAAAGATCTGTATTCACAAGAAATTTTAACCAATAGTAAGGTGGAAGGTTAAATGTTAGTCTTAGAACCAAAGTTCTTCTATATACAACATATTTTTAATTATCACTAATAGTCATTAAAGTTTAACATCTTAATGAAATAGCTAGCATTATCACAAAGTTAAGAGAGCAAATTGAGTAAGAAAAATTTCCAATGGTTATTAAGATAGTTCCTATCAAAATATCCTAAGCATACGTGCAAAATCCAAAAAAAAAAAAAATCAAGTACAGAAAATTAGCCACTGAATATTCTACAGTGATATGATTCAAAAAATAAGCAAATTATCAAATATTTACTTTCTTTTAAAATGCAAGCATTCTAAATAGTTCCTCCTTTGTAAACTGAAATTATGAAATTATATGATAAAATAAACTCACCAAGGAACAGATATCCAGCCACCAGCCACAAATGAGAGGAAACACTCCAATTTCTACCACCACTAACAAAGAGACCTAAAGCAAAAATAAAGGTCAGAAATATCATCCAATGAGAGAAAGAGACAAAAAATCCATTTCCAGTTTTAACTTACAAATTACCTTAACAACAATATAGCAGACTCCTAGCAAGCGACGAGATCTATGAAATTTCACAAGCGTTGCCAAACCCTGCAGCACCTAGTCAAGGAAAAAGTGAACACTCAAGTGTACAAAGAAGCAGGAAATGATTTAAACTGAACTTAATACATCCAAGGATCAGAATTCATTTTCTGCACATTATGTACACACATACTCACAAAGACTTCAACTTTTACTAAGAGAACAAGGTGAAAGAAAACAACTTTGTTTTTAATGAGACCAACTCTTCCATATAAATATTACTGTACCCCCAACTTGGTTCATTAAAGGATACATGACAAATTATCAGTGTTATTGCTAAGAGTATATATCCAACTATGGTTGTGATTAAGCCTTCAAAGTGAGATGCCTGAACCTGCAAATGAAACACAAAGAGCTTTACTACATGGCCTATACTCCAGTTTGTCACTGAATTAAACAATGTAGATGGCAAAAAGTAAGGTCTCTTAACAATATTTAACTAGAAAATACCTATAAAAATCCCCTTTGGGACAGGCACTAGTGGCTTATGCCTGAAATCCTAGCTACTCAGAAAGTGGAAATCTGAAGATCACGGTTCAAAGCCAGCCCAGGCAGGAAAAGTTCTTGAGACTCTTATCATCAATTAATCAACAGAAAACCAGACTAGGTGCTATGGCTCAAAGTAGTAGAGGGCTAGCCTTGAGCAAAAGAGTTCAGGGTCGGTGTCCAGGCTCTGAGTTCATCAATCAATCAATCAATCAAATCCCTTTTGGGCTGCCAAATGTTACTAAAGGATCAAGAAATATTGAAGAATAATAGAAAGTTAAATTTGACAAAAAAAAAACACCACTGGATTATAACTTGTGCTACTAGCTCACTCTGAGGATTTGCTAAAGGCCAATTGCTAAACAATAGCATACCACCCAATTTGGCCAACCTACCCTATTTCCTACCTTAGAAGTAACTGCAAAACTCTTAGTGACACAGAATAGACTTTAGAGAATGACAAATATGGCCCATGTTTATCTTTTTTTCCAGATTCTCAAGAAGCAAATGGTAACAGTTTGTAAAGTCAAAATTTATCAAAACACTCATATGAACCTTTCAGGTTCTTGAATGTAATTTCTATATCCTAAGTGAAAACAGAATCAAGTCAGCTCTTCCTTAAAAGAGGTCTAAGACCCCTACAATAAACAGTAATCTAATAAGCTATCTACTTTAGAAATTAAGGACAGAAAACTTAAGCGAATTCTCTAAAAAACAAGATAGCCTATTATTCTAAGATATTCTATTCCCTTTTACAAACTGGTCAGTCAAACTGTTACCTCTTTAAATCCACTATGGGTCACCTGAGGCAGGGAGAGAAAGGAGCACTGGGTAGAAGAGTAGTCCACCACAGGAACACAGTACATTATGGTGTTGCACACATACCAGTTAGCTAGCAACAGGATTTAACTATCTCTGAAGCAACTGTTAGCTTTTTTTTTTTTTTCTGTCGGTCGTGGGGCTTGAACTCAGAGCCTGGGCGCTGTGCCTGAGCTCCTCAGCTCAAGGCAAGCACTCTACCACCTGACCCACAGCACCACTTCCAGTTTTCTGGTGGTTAACTGGAGATAAGAGTCTCACAGACTTTCCTGCCCAGGCTGGCTTCTGCTAGCCTTTTTTTTTCTAAGAAAAGAAAATAAGCCCTCTGCACAGAGCAGACAGAAATAAAGTAACTCTTCAGAATATTACTAGCTCAGAAAATAATAATTTGTGAATGACTGATGAAGATAAGCTTGGTGAAAGTTTTATACTCACATGTTCTTCAAATCCCAAACCAACAAGGGAGAAGTGACCAATATGATAAGGGCAAAATGCTAAAGGAAGGAAAAGACTCAGTGAGTCTAATAATCAAAACAGTAAGTACCTGTCTATTACAGCTTTGTTCACAATAGCTGAATGGTGTCCAACAACTGATGAATGGATAAAGAAAATATGATACACACTCAATGGAATATTACTCAGTCATAAGGAAAAAAATTATGTCATTTGTATACAAGTAGATGGAGTTGGAGACCATGTTGAACAAACTCAAAGAGGCAAATATTTGATATATTTAATTGGACTACTTTAATTATTTAGCTATAGCTAAGTTTTATATCTAAGCTACAACTAAGTGATAAAAATAATTTTCTTCTATATTAAATTTCAATTTGGCAATTTAAGTATAACTTTCCATTAGATAATGTATGAAACCCAATGTTGACAAGGTTACATGTAGAAAAAAGTAAATTTATATAAACATTTCGCCTGAGAAAAAATTCACCAAGTTTTCATTCATTTATAGACTTTATATATACATATTCATAAGTATAAAACATTTTATACTATTTTCCTCAAGCTGGGCAAATTTTACTTTTTCAAGTAAATATAATTATTTTCAATTATGGTAACAGTAATTTAACCCCATAGCAGATCAGTGGAAAAGGTATGACTTCACCACTGGATCAGAAAGTCAGAGTGAATCTATTAGAGATCTGGTCTTTAAACCTCTATTGTACATTCCTTAACATTCCTAAATTATAAACAAAAACTTCTGACCAGACTTCTAGGAAATCAAACTTCTATTACAATACATAAGAAGTAAAAGCATAAACACATCTTACCAAAAACAAGAATGAACAGTGTATTTAAAGACACCACCCAGAAGACATGTTCCTAAAGGAAAAGAGAATAAGGCAAAATCCATTCACATTTGGTATGGTAAATTGGACTATTCTATTTATTTAGCTACAGTTAAGTGTTATAGCTAAACTTCAGATAAGTGTTAAAAATAATTTACCCAGCCAGTGTCAGTGACTCATGCCTGTACTAGCTACTCAGGAGGCTGAGATCTGAGGATCGCAGTTCAAAGCCAGCCTGGCAGAAGAGTCTGTGAGACTCTTATCTCCAATAAACCACCGGAAAACTGGAAGTGGCGCTGTGGGCTCAAGCAGTAGAGCGCTCGCCTTGAGCTGAAGAGTGAAGGGACAGAGCCCAAGCCCAGCAGAGTTCAAGCCCCATGACTGACAAAAAAAATAATAATAACAATAATCATAATTTCCCCTCTTTGTTATATTTCAGTTTGGCAATTTAGGTACAACTTTTCACTTTTTATCAGAAACTCAATGTTCACAATGTTACATGTAGAAAAAAAATTTTTTTTTGGTTGGTCGTGGGGCTTGAACGCTGGGCTTGGACGCTACTATCCCTCAGTTCTGCAGCTCAAGGCGAGCACTTTACCAGTTGAGCCACAGTGCCACTTCTGGTTTCCGTTTATTGGAGATAAGAGTCTCACAGACTTTCCTTGCCCGGGCTGGCTTTGAATTGTGATCCTAAGATCTTAGCCTCCTGAGTAGCTAGGATTACAGGCGTGAGCCACCGGCGCCCAGCTGAAAAAATAAATTTTTATAAACATTTCCTTTTGAGAAATAATTCACCAAACTCTGGATTTTTGTATTTTTTTTTTAAAACTGGGGTTTGAACTCAGGATTTTTATAAATTACATTTCATTTTAATTAAATAAGGCTGAAAAATGTCAAGGAGAAAAATCTGAAATCCACACAGATGCTGAACAACATATGAATGTAAACTGCAGTATCCATTCTGTTTCCATGACTTTGGAAAGGTCACTGCTGCTTGGCTCCTGCCCCTTGGAAAACTACCTGGCTCTTCTCTGTTCTGCTTCCTCTTTTCCCTAGGTGCATGGGCTTGTTTTCTTCCTTTGGGGAAGAAGGTGGTACTGGAGTTTTGAATTCACACTCAAGTACCCTACCACTTTAAACACATCCTCAGAAACACATTCTCACTTGGCACCTAGTCCACTGGTGATATATTACCACCTTCAAGATGACTGTCCTAACTATGTCAAAAACACTTCAACCATGCTCCATGCTGACAATCACTAGAAACCCGATCATCTAGGCCTTTCTTCTTCCAGGAGGGATGACACAGTATAATTCTTTTTAAAAAAGATTACTCTCAGTTAGGTGCCATGGCTCACGCCTGTAATCCTAGCTACCATCTAATAAGGATGGTGGTTCAAAGCTAGCTCAAGCAGAAAAGTCCCTGTGAGACTCTTACTTCCAATTAACCACTCAAAAACTGGAAGTGACAGTATAGTTCAAGTGATATAGTGCTAGTCTTGAGTCTCAGGGTAAGCACCCAGGCCCTGAGTTCAAGCCCCACACCAATTAAACAAAAAAGAAAAAATATTACTCTCTTTCCCTGTCTAATTATTCATAAATCCAACTGGAAGGGTGTCAATACAAATAGCTGTTAAGCTTCCTACAAGGCAGTCTGGCAAATCAAGTGTTTGAGCTCCTGGGATTATTTGTACAGAAAAAAGCAGAGAAAAGAAAGTGTGGTTTAATGATGTCCCATTTACTAACAGCCCTCTGGCCAGTGATACAACCCACTTCCATTTGTCCCTAAGTGTCCTGAGTAAAAGGTCATTTAGGGAACACTGTGATGATGTTAGCTAATTCACCTACAAAGCTAGGTGTATCCCAGACCCAGTGTAAGAAGAATATACAAACAAATGTAGCAGTCTCTTTTTTAAGCGTATCTCCAGAAGCTGACCCTAGTTCACAATAATACTCAAAAAATATTCGGTAAACTATTTTCTTAGTAAGCTTGCTCCTTTAGTCATTCTCTATCTACCACACATACCCCCGCTTCATGCTGATGAGATGATATTGACTGTCCTTCTGGAAGATGAGCTGTTAAGATACATCAAAACCTGAAGAAGCTGGGTGCCCATGGCTCACGCCTGTCATCCTAGCTACTCAGGAGGCTGAGATCTGAGGATCACAGTTCAAAGCCAGCCCAGGCAAGGAAAGTCCATGAGACTCATCTTCAATTAACCACCAGAAAACTGGAAGTGGTGCTGTGGCTCAAGTGGTAGAGCGCTTGCCTTGAGCTGAAGAGCTCAGGGACAGTGCCCAGGCCCAGAGTTAAAGCTCCACAATCAACAACAACAACAAAAACCCTGTAGAATGTACACTTCAAAAAGCTTGCCTAATGAAATAATGTAACTAAGCATGGTAGCATGTGCCTATAATCCCAGTTATGCTAGAGTCCACTAACAGTCCCACAAACCTTGAGACACTATCCAAAAAGTAAATAAAACAAAAGGTTGGGAGCGTGGCTCAAACGTTAAGAGTGCTTGCCTACCAAGAATAAGCCCTAAATTCAAAACTCAGTATCACCAAGTAAAATAGTAACAACAGAATATATGTATAAAATGCCATGGTTATATAGAGAAAACAGAAAAAGTTGATATGAATTGTATTAAGTTATAATTTATCAAAGAATTCAAGTTTTAGACAAAAATGCTTCCTGGGGGTAGGTGGAGGGGAATCTAAAGGATTTTCAGACCCCATACAGCAAGCCGTTTTGTATTCTATCACCTGAACACCAGCATGTCGCCTTCAAGAACTGTTCCCTTAACATTGTAATCTTTATTCATAACAGAGTTCCTAGTTAACAAATGACAGCAACCTGAGATCAGACTATGGTGCTCACTGTGAAAATATACAAAGCTGCTTTGTTCTCATCAGCACAGGTATTAAATACTGCTAGACTGAACTGTAAAGAAGATCAAGATTTTTTAACTACCATTACCTGTGGACTTCATTTTCTTTCCTGAAAGTCAAATATTTAATAATTTCCCTTTAAGCCGGACTCTGGTAATCCTAACTATTCAGGAGGCTGAAATCTAAGGATCATAGTTCAAAGCCAGCCCAGGCAGGTAAGTCTGTGAGATTCTTCTCTCCAATTAACCACTAGAAAACTGTGGCACTGTGGCTCAAAGTGGTAGAGCACTAGCCTTGAGTGAAAAATCTTAGTGACAGCACCTAGGCCCTGAGTTCAAACTCGAGGACAGGAGTGTGTATGCATGCAAACAAAGAAACAAACCCTCTACACTTGAAGTTGCTGAACTAAATAACAAGGTCATAATTCTGTTTTTTAAAAAAATAAGTTTTAGGTGGGTACTGGTGGCTCACACCTGTAATCCTAGTTACTGAGGAGGCTGAGATCTAAGAATTCTGGTTCAAAGTTAGCCTGGGCAGGAAAGTCCAATGAGACTCTTTATTTCCAATTAATCACCAGAAAACTGGAAGCAGAGCTGTGGCTCAGAGTAGTAGAGTGCTAGCTTTGGGCAAAAGATCTTAGGGCTAGTCCCCAGGTCCTGAGTTCAAGCCCCATGACTAACAATAAAAAAAAGTTTTACTTACCAGAAAAACCAGTGACCCATCAAGTCCTAGCATCTAAAATAATAGTAATAACACGCATTAATTGAACCGCAGCAGGATTTTCTACTATTACAAAAAGGTTTATTTTTGTTTCAGTCTCTTTACACACGTCTCCACTACATTCCAATACTTATGATTTTCATAATAAAAAGTGTTACTACAATTTTACTGCTAAGGATCTATTATTCCAAATCTTTACAATTATTTACTTTGGTTCTATCTAGGGTTTAATCTTCACATTAGAGAACCAGTACATGATAGAACTATATCATTATATGCAAAATATGAAAATATTAAAGTTAAATTGTGATTTGGTTTTCTAAAAGTTCACAATTTCAAGTAAAACACTGCCCATACAGAGCAATGTTTGTACTAAAGACCAGAAGATAGAAAGACAACCATCAGTGTCATAACCAGAAACAATACATCATTTGATTTCTGTAAAGTTAAATTCCATTAACTATCTTCATCAAATATTAACTATGAAATTAGTGCACACAATGAAATATGCCCAACTTTAAAATACACTAGGACTAAATGCACCAAATGCACTGATTAAAACACATCTTACTCTTTCCCATGTAAGCTCCTCTGCAGCTCGGTCCCATTCTAAAGCATTCCAGTTCATGTCATCTAGAAATAAATTGCAGATTAAAGATTATTGATGAAAATTGAATAAATAACCGAACTCTTTCATTTATAAGCTAGCTTTTGGAAAGCTGAACTACCTTTTAAATTGTTATTTATTAGCAGTATAGGGCTTGAACTCACATCAGGGACTTGCTTCTACTCGGTGGCACAATACCACCTGGCACAATACCACTTGAGCCATACCTCTAACCCTTTTTTTTCCTGGTTAACCTGGCGATGAAGTCTCATAGACTTTTTTGCCTAAACTAAACTCGAATTTAGATCCTCTGGACCTCAGCCTCCTGAGTAGCTAGGATTATAGGCAGGAGCCACTGGGACCTGGTTCATATTTAAAATTTGTATACTGTTTCTTTATTAGGTAAATAATATGCATCAATATATACCTGTGTGTGTGTGTGTGTGTGTGTGTGTGTTTTGTGTGTATGTGTGTGTAATCCTAGACTGAAACAGGAATTCAGTAGCTCTGAGTCAGAAATTAATCTAATAGATTTGAGAAGAGTAAGGAAACCAGAGACTAGAACTTTCTGAATGATGTGGAGGATAAAAGTATAAAAGGCAGAGCTGGACAGGGCAGCCCATGTCTATATAATCCTAGCATAGAAGGACAAAGAGCTGAGACTAGCCTGGGTTTCAAAGTGAGATTATGCAAAATAGAAGGGTGGGAGTGGAGGAAGGAAAAGGTGGGGGTCGGGAATAGGGGCCAGGAGTGGTGATGGTGCATGTCTCCAATCCCCGCTAGTCAGAAGGTCTGAACAAAAGCAAGACTTTATCTTAATAAACAATAAAAGCAAAAGAAATAGTGGTGTGGCTCTAACGGTGGCCTAGCAAGCCCCTACACTGGGAGGAAAAGTATGAAAGGCAGACAATCTGTCTTTCACTTTTTCCTTTAACCTTTCTCTGCAAAAGTCTATTTCTTCTCATTCCTTAGGACTCAGCTCAAAAGTCACTTTCTCAAAAAATAATAAATAAATACTTATTCTGCGCTTGCTGGCAATCTGCATGCAAACTAGATCTCATCTGAGTTGTAGGTACAGAGCAATCTTTATCACCCTTATCACAATGTACACATTCTAGTCTTCCCTAAGACTAGGACCCCCACACCAAGGCAGACACCTGCTGTTTTATATTTATTTATATACTTAAAAGTCTTAAGGAGGAGCCAGGCGCCACTGGCTCACGTCTGTAATCCTAGCTACTCAGGAGGCTGAAGACCGATCTGAGGATCGAGGTTCAAAGCCAGCCCGAGCAGGAAAGTCCATGACACTTTTATCTCCAATAAACTAGAGAAAAACCAAAGTGGCACTGTGGCTCAAGTGCTCGCCTTAAGCTGAAGAGCTCAGGGACAACGCCCAGGCCCAGAGTTCAAGGCCATGACTGACAAAAAAAAAAAAAAAAAAAGTCTTGAGGAGACAAAGAACAACGTCAAGTGAACTGATAGGCAGTGTAGCAATTGTCAGGAAAACTCTGTAGTGGTATGAGCAAAGGAGAGGCATGCGCTATTACTAACAGATTGGCAAATTTAATCTTGGACCTTAGTTTACATTCTGGAGTTGACACTGCTAGAAAATGAAAAAAGAAAAAAGGCCTTTGGGTAGCACCTGGCCTGCATACACTTCAAATATCAATTCTAGAGCTGTGAGGTATAAGAAGCTCTCAAGAAACCCAGGGCTCTTCCTAAGGTGGTACTCCCTCAAGGATAAGGCCATGATGCGTGTTAAGATTGTAAAGTCCAGCCGGGCGCTGGTGGCTCACGCCTGTAATCCTAGCTACTCAGGAGGCTGAGATCTGAGGATCGCGGTTCAAAGCCAGCCCGGGCAGGAGAGACCGTGAGACTCCTATCTCCAATAAACCACCAGAAAACCGGAAGTGGCGCTGTAGCTCAAGCGGTAGAGCGCTTGCCTTGAGCTGAAGAGCTGAGGGACAGCGCCCAGGCCCAGAGTTCAAGCCCCACGACCGACCAAAAAAAAAAAAAAGATTGTAAAGTCCAGCAGGGTGCCGGTGGCTAACACCTGTAATCCTAGATACTCAGGAGGCTGAGATCTGTGGATCCTGGTTGAAAACCAACACTGGAGGAAAGTCCATGAGACTCTTATCTCCAATTAACCATCAGAAAATCAGAAGCAGTGCTGTGGCTCTAAATGGAAGAGTGTTAGCCTTTAGCGAACTCTCCAGGTATGTTCAAACCCACAACCAAAAGAAAAAAAAGATTGTGGCTCAGTAGTAGAGCGCTTGCTTTGCATGCATGAAGCCCTGGGTCCGATTTCTCAGCACCACATAAGCAAAAAGAAAAAAGCCAGAAGTGGCACTGTAGCTCAAGTGGTAGAGCACTAGCCTTGAGCTGAAGAGCTGAGGGACAGCGCCCAGGCCCAGAGTTCAGGCCCCACAACCCCCCCCCCCCCCCAAAAAAGATTGTGAAGTCCAATAGCAAGAAGCCAGATGAGTTAAATTCAAGTCAAATATCATCATCTCTCAGTTGCTGCTCAAGATGAAGCTAAACTCAAAATTCAAGGCCCAGCTAGAGATTCTCAGCATCAAAGTAACAAAACTGATATTGGTGATGGCGGGAAACGTGTGTGTGTATGTGTGTGTGTGTGTGTGTGTTAAGAGTCGTAACAAAACTGATATTGGTGATGGCGGGAAACGTGTGTGTGTGTGTGTGTGTGTGTGTGTGTGTGTGTGTGTGTGTGTGTGTGTGTGTGTGTGTGTGTGTGTGTGTGTGTGTGTGTGTGTGTGTGTGTGTGTGTGTTAAGAGTCTCATGGAGCCATGCCTGTAATCCTAACTACTCAGAAGGTTAAGATTTGAGGATTATGGTTCAAAGTTGAAGAGCTGAGGGATGTGCTCATCCAGGCCTAGAGTTCAAGCACGCACCATAACCAACCAAAAAACAAACAAAGTCTCATGAACTTTCCTGCCCAGGCTGCTGGTTTTGAACTGTGATCCTCAGATCTCAGCCTCCTGAATAGCTAGGATTACAGGCATGAGCCACAAGTGCCTTGTGTCCATGAGCTTTTTAAGACATCAGAAATACTTCACCCAGTACCCCATGTTGTTCTGCTGGGTTTTGTTCAAACGAAGCTATAGGAGCTGGCTGTGCCCAGGTCCACACAGGTCCTCTCATCTACTTGGAAACCCCAAGTTATCAAGGATGGCATCTCTCACAGCTGGCAGAGTGGGGCTTCCGAGATGCTTCTAGGTTTTGTTTTTTTTTTTGAGCAAGAGACCCCATACTCCCAAGAACCTTTATTTATTTATTTTTCCCAATTTATGGCTCATAAAAAGAAGTTGTACTTAACTCCATGAAAATAGAAGCAATGAAGCAAGATAAACTTACACTTAATTTCTTCCCCCTAAAAAAGATCTATTCCTTTTTTAAAAATAATTTTCACTGGGTACCTGTAGCTAACACCTGTAATCTGACTCAGGAACTGAGATCGAACGATTGCAGTTCCAAGAAGCCAGCCCAGGCAGGAAAGTCCATGAGACTCTTATTTCCAATTAGCCTCTAGAAAACTGGAAGTGGAGCTGGAGCTCAAAGTGGTAGAATGCTAGCCTTGAGTTTATAAAGTTCAGGGACTGTGTTCAGGCCCTGAGTTCAAGCCCCACCACCACTACCACCACCAACAACAATAATAGCAATAGTTTTCTCTATCCATTCTATAAAGAGAACTGTAAAGCAAAATTTTCTGTACAACACAGAAAAAAAAGACATACTTATTAGTGCTGGTATCTGTACATGCTATTTTGATAAAATAAAGCAAAACTTACTTTGAAATAGAACTTGAAAACATTAAAATGCCAACCCTTAGGGTGAAGCATACAACAGCTTATACCTTGGGCTCCATTGTTAGCATCGGCAGCATCTTCCACACCTGCGTCATCCTCCTCCTCATTATCTTCCTCCTCCTCTTCTGCCTGATCATCCTGCGCTTCTGGGTTCTCCCCAACCACTGCATTCTCAGCTGGCGGGTTAGCAGGCTGATCAGCAGCCACATTTTCTGCACCATTTCCTCCTGCTGGAGCCTATGACGAGAGAAGAGCCCAAAAATCTAGCTAACTTGTCTCACCTTTGCTCTATTTCACAATCTCCCTGCTAGAAAAACAAAACTACTGAACACAAACCCCACTAGGATTCAAAAAATAAATACCTTCCAGAATCACTTTTAGTTGTTTTTCTTGGATTTTTTAGTAAAGGCCATCTTTTCTAAATGTATTTGGTTTCAGATCACCTTGTTATATAAAAGCCTAAGCCCACATATGTTTAAAGTCCAAAGACCATTAGAGCAAGGGTGTCAGTAGCTCACGCCTGTACTCCTACTCAGGAGGCTGAGACATGAGGATCACAGTTCAAAGCCAGCCCAGCAGTAAAGTCAGTGAGACTCTCATCTCCACTAATCACCAGAAAATCAGAATGGCATTGTTATTCAAAGTGGTAGAGGGCTAGCCTTGAGTGAAAGAGCTCAGGGACAGCGCCCAAACTGAGTTCAAGCCCTAAACCGATCAAAAAGAAAAGAAAAAAAAAAAACAAACAACTTTTCTATTTAGCAAAACTGGAAGTGGAGGTGTGCCACTAGGCCTTGAGCAAAAAAGCTCAGGAACAGCACCCAGGCCCTGAGTTCAAGCCCAGGGGAGACAGAGACAGACACATACAGACACAGAGACAAAAACGCCTGTTTAAAAACAAATTATAAACACACACACACACCCCCCACAAAAAAATAAAAACCTGTTTTCAAAAAAAATCTCCTTCTAGAGTGGGGGACCAGTATTCACACCTGTAATCCTAGCTAGTTAAGAGGCTGAGATATGAGAATTACAGTTTGAAGCCAGCAGTCCATGAGACTTATCGCCAATTAAGCACAAAAAAGCCAGACATAGAGCTGTGGCTCAAGTGGTAGAGCACTAACCTTGAACAGAAAAAAAGCTCAGGGACAGTGCCCAGGCCCTGAGTTCAAGACCCAAGACTAGAGCTGGGAAGTTGGCTCAGTGGTAGAGTGCTTGCTTCGCATGCATGAGGCCCTGGTTTTGATTCTTCAGCAAAACATAAGCAGAAAAACGCTGGAAGTGGTGCTGTGGCTCAAGTGGTAGGGTGCTAGCCTTGAGCTAAAGAGCTGAGGGACAGCGCCCAGGCCCAGAGTCAGGCTCTATGACCGACCAAAAAAAAAAAAAAGACCCAAGACTGGCACACACACAAAAATTCTCCATCTAACTTGGGTGTGGTGCCCCAGCTCTGCAGGATCTGAAGATCTGAGGGTTAAAGGTTGAGGTTAGGTCTAGAAAAAGTCAGTTAGACCTCATTTCAACTAACAACCTGAGGTGATAGCCTATAAACCCAGCTCTGCAGAAGGCAGAGGCAGGACTGTAGTCCAAGGCTGGACCCTGGCAGATAGACTACCTGAAAAATAAACTTCAAAGTCTAAGGGCTAGGAATGTGGCTCGGGAGTAGACCACTTCTGGAACACATCTATATAAAACTTAATCTTGCTATTAACACATGAGGAAATGGTTTCAAATTTCTGTTTAGTAGATAAGACTTTACATATGGACTTTTCAGTTCTCAAATGTCCCTCCTCTGGCTCTTCCAATGTCTACTAGCAAGCTGAGCAAGGTAGCATACACCTGCAACCACAGCTACTGGGAGGGAAAAAAGATTAGTTAGGACAGTGGCAAATTCAAGGCCAACCAGGGGAATGTAACAGGTAATTATCTCAAAGTAAAAAATTGCCTAGGGGCATTGCTCAGAGCATGCTCAGTTCAGTATCACCAAAAAACAAACAAAATAAGTTTGCTACCTACCAAATGCAATTACTAAATTGTAATGAACTGGTTTTTTTGGTCAGTTGTGGGCTTGAACTCCGGGCCTAGGCACTGTCCCTCAGCTCTTCAGCTCAAGGCTAGCGCAGGGCCAGCGTGGGCAGGAAACTTCATGAGACTCTTCAATAAATCACTCAGAAAAAAACCCGAAAGTGGTGCTGTGGCTCAAGTGGTAGAGCGCTCTCCTTGAGCTGAAGAGCGCAGGGACAGTTCCTAAGCCCAGAGTTCAAGCCCCATGACCGACAAAAAAAGAAAAAGATAACAAGCTAGCAAATGAAAAAAAGCAGTGTCATTCTCTTTTTTTAGATCACTGTTTATGGAGAAGTGTCTGTAGACAAAAAAAAAAAAAAAAAAGGAATTCAATGAAATCAATCTACACATTGAAAAAAGCAAAACAGCCCTAAAAACAAAGATTGTTAATTATCACTGAGAATTTTACGGTCAAATTTTTCTTAATAAAGTTTTTACAAAGTAAACTTTTCATTTTACCAAACAGCCAATCATTTTCAAGTTCGTAATTTCTCAGCAAAACACTAAAACCATTTAACCAGACAGGTACCAATGGTCACATATGCAATCCTAATTACTCTGGAGGCTGAGATCTAAGGATCATAGTTCAAAGCCAGCCCAGGCATGAACGCTTGAGAGACTCATCTCCAAATAACCACTAAAAACCTGGAAGTGAAAGCTGTGGCTCAAGTGGCAGAGCACTAGCCTTGAGCAAGAAAGATCAGAGAGAGTGGATAGGCTCCAACCCTCAATTCAAGACACAAGACCAGCATGTCCGTGTCACACACATACACCATTTAACCTACCTTCTCTTTAACACTTCTACAAACAGCCTTCTATCACTCATAAAGAAAAAACTGTACAAGATTCTTTTTCTTGGTGATACTGGAATTTGAACTCAGGTATTTGTGCTTGCTAGGTCGGTATTCTACCACCTGAGCTACACCTGGAATCCCTTTTTTTTTTTTTTCAGACAGTGGCTCAGTTTCTTGTGTATATGAGGTAGCAGGAAACAAGTTTAGATTTAAAGCCTCCTACCTAATACTGATCCCTAAGTCCCCAAATCACGCTTTCATTTTTCATGTTTCTATAATCTTTTCCCAAGCCTACCAATATCCTTTAAATGACAAGAGCACAATGTATGTGGCACCTGAGAACCAAAGGTTTGGGTCTCAAACCTTATGTCCTACCTAACTAAAACTAATGTAGAGATAGGAGTTACCTCATTTTGATGGTGCCCAGCAGCGATGAAAGGCGGGGCAGCATGCTCTAGCCAGATTGGTGCTCCTCCGTGGACTATCTGCTCTCGCAGCCACACCAGACTGATGAACGCACACAGTGTGCATGTTACCACAAAACAACCCTGCAAACAATCCGCCAACAGATTTTCCCTGTTTAAAAAAACACAAAGAACACTTGGGAAAACGGCCAGAAAAAGAAACTTCAATTTTTAGGGTAAAAATCAGTTTCTCTAAAAGAAGTATTTATAATGATGATGTTATTTTATAAACTGGCTAACACACATATTACAAATATGTTTTAAAAGCAATAAACTATCCATTGCCTCTCATTTTACTTATTTTTTTGCCAGTCCTGGGTGCTGTTTCTGAGCCTCTTTGTGCTCAAGGCTAGCGCTCTACCACTTGAGCCACAGTACCACTTCTGGCTTTTTCTGCGTAGTTTATTGGAGATATGAGTCTCTCAGATTTTCTTCCCTGGTCTGGCTTTGAACCTTGATGCTCAGATCTCAGCCTCCTGAGTAGCTAGGATTACAGATGTCAGCCACCAGCACCCAACTACCTCTCCTTTTAATATGGCTAAAATCCAAGAGGGCGGCAAGCACAAAGCTGACAAATAAATACTCAACAACAGCCAAGCATTAAATTTTATATAATCTATTAAACATGAATAGCCTTGTCCAAACCCTTACAAAGAAGTTTCTGATCCTTATTTGACATACAAGTTTAGCTGATACCCAACTCCACACAAACTAACAGAATCATCAAATCAGAAAAGCAGAAATTTCTTCTACAGATAGACTAATTGATAATGTAAAAAAATAAAAATCAAGAGATACTCAATATACTAGATATAAGGCAAAGAAGTCTGTAATATATTGTGCAGAAAATTTTCATTTAGGAAAAAAAGAATCAAGTGTTGATTCTTTTTTGGTAGATGGTGGGGCTTGAACTCTGGGCTTGGGCACCGTCCCTGCGCTCTTCAGCTCAAGGCAAGCCCTCTACCACTTGAGCCACAGGGCCACTTCCGGTTTTCGAGTGGTTTATTGGAGATAAGACTCTCACTGACTTTCCTGCCCAGGCTGGCTTTGAACTGAGATCCTCAGATCTCAGCCTCCTGAGTAGCTAGGATTACAGGCGTGAGCCACCAGCGCCTAACTTCAAGTGGTGATTCTAATGAAACATGTATCACAAGTATATCAAGTCCTCGGTAAGTCCAAAGAGGCAAAGTAGGGTCCCTTTACGTCCCTGGAAATACACGGAATTTTTTTTGTAATACTGAAGATCCCTTTGGTCTTTTCCTGTCCTTCAGTATAACTCAAGGGTAATTGGGAAACCTTGGTAGCCTTTGGGAAACTTACTACTTTCATGTAGTAACAAGGGTCAGCCTGGAAGACCTCATGCTAGAGGCTGCAAACTTGAACTGGGATTTACTACTTTCATGTAGTAACAAGGGTCAGCCTGGAAGACCTCATGCTAGAGGCTGCAAACTTGAACTGGGATTGTTCCTAAGAAAGCAGGTCTATAGTATCTCTTAGATCAAAAGAGAAATAGTAACCATTGCTTGTTAAGGAATTTTTCAAACTATTAAAATTTTGATGGACTGGGACTAAAATATTCTGTTTCTTGTTGCCTTCAGCAATGAGAACAGTTAACTGCTTCTTACAGATTTTATTATTAAGTAGCTATACTAAGGGATTACAATTCTGCAAGTCAGGTTCTGAGTACAATGAGTACAACGTTTCTGGTCAATCTCTCCCCTTCCTTCTTTTTCTCCCATTTTCCCCCTCCTGTCCTCCTCACTGATCTCTGATCAATGACAATAAGCCCAATGACATGAATGTCAAATTGAATATACAATAAAACAATCATAGATAAGTCTTTATTCATATATACCATAACCATATGAAGAAATTTTTTTTTTTAAGTCACGGGGCTTGAACTCTGGGCCTGGGCACTGTCCCTCAGCTCTTCAGCTCAAGATGAGCACTCTACTACTTGAGCTACAGCGCCACTTATGGTTTTCTGGTAGTTTTTATTGGAGATAAGAGTTTCAAGGACTTTCCTGCCTGGGCTGGCTTTGAACCATGATTCTCAGATCTTAGCCTCCTGAGTAGGTAGTATTACAGGTGTGAGCATTAATGTCAGCATGAGAACGTACTAGCATATACCTCAATCTGTATGATATTCTGCTTAACAAGTCATCTTGCCATTACCAAAAGATCTTTTAAAATGAGTGTTTGAAAAGAAAGATCAGTTATTTATATCAGCTACTTCTATGGTTAGAATTCTTAGAACATACAAATTTTCAAATTTATAAGTATACAAAGAAAACAAAAGTATCATTATTTACACTGTGCACAGGTTCAATACTCACGTTGACAACATGTCTAGTGGCAGTGTCAGTAGTGAGCTCACGGAGCCAGTAAACAAGCACTTGTAGATGCGGCCTACCAAAAGAGGGCATGATGGTATACAGTCACAACAGCATAATGAACTCATCCAGTTGCTTCAGAAGAATAATCTAACACTGAAATAAGTATTTGGTTTTTGCAGGCCTGAGTTTCAAGACAATTCATTTTAAAAATCATGGACAAGCATAAAAGCAGTGGCTGAAGATAAGTGCTCTGCAACGATGTTTAGATTCTTTCTAGGCTTGTGTTTGACTCATCTATTGGCTTCAGAGTGGCATACTGGTCTTCCATTATGACTGAATGCTTTTCTTTCTCTTTTGCTTTTACTTCCTTCCCTCTACATTCTCTTGCTTTCTTGTCTTTGATTGGAAACCTTGCCCCCTTTTATGAGACAGTCTTGCTATGTAGCAAGGTCTTTAGTTTGAGGCTAGCCTCAAACTAAAGACCTCCTGCCTTAGCTTCCCAAATGCTGGTATATTCCAGGAGAAATCCACCATGTCCAGCCTAAATAGCAAACTTTATTTGCTGTTTCTCACTCTAAAATGAAAACAAATCATCTTATTTCTATTCTAGCAGTACCCTATGTGTTGTTACTGTTTAAACTAAGATATATTTTACATTAATCTTAAGTAGCCAGACACATTCTTTATTTTTTGGTGCCGTTCCAGGGGCCTGATCTTAGGGCCCGCCTGCTATTCCTAAGCTTCTTTGCTCAAGGAAAAGTGCTCTACTACTTGAGTCCGCTACTCCACTTCTGGCTTTTTGGCACTTAACTGGATAAAAGTCTCACAGACTTCCCTTTCCATGCTGGCTTTGAACTGTGATCCTCAGATCTCAGCCTCCTAAGTAGCTAGGATTATAGGAATGAACCAGCACCCAGCTTCCAAATTCTTACACATGGGTCTATCTTTTTAACTACCATCTGGAACAAGATCTTCAACATTTCTAGCTACCCAGAAGGCTCCCTCAAAATTAAAGCAACTATAACATCTCTATTTCTCTATTTCTATCTCTATTTCTCCATTTCTATTCTCCTTAAAATTTCTCCCATGTTAAGATCACCTGAAATTTAGTTCCAGGCTGTTACCTAAAATGATTAGTTAGTATTGATTAACAATAACGAAGCTTACCTATTCTTTTTCCTAGCAGTCTTTTTTCTGTGAATCTCACATATTTCTTGGATTCCTTGTTCAAGTTGCAAAGTATAGGTTAAAACAGGGTTTTCATTATGGTAGAATGGTAGCTTATAGTAGTACACTTTCTGAAGCCTTACATCTAATGAAATATCTATCACCAGCAGCACCCTGTCTAACTCTGCAACTAAGTTTCTAAGTCCTTTTTCTTTCTCATGGCCAGGCTTTTGTCTTTCAACATAAAGACATCATTCCATTGTCTCTTTTTACAGTATAGAACTATGAATTTGCTAAAGTCACTAGAACAACTGGATTTAGCCTCTCTCAATTTTAGCCAACATTTTCTTCAATTTTAACACAGTACATAAAATTTCAAATGTAATTTAGATCTTTGCACATCTGTGTAAAATGTAGTTCAACACATCCCAAAGAAAAATTGTCATGATTTTTGAAAAATATGCTTTTAAAGGGTTCTAATGGGCAGGGCATAGTTGATCACACCTGTTAATTCCCATACTTGGTAAGTAGAAAGTGGGAGGCCTCAATTGGGGATCAAGAGCAAGCTTAGGGGGAAAAAAATCACTGAAATCCCACCTCAACAAATGAGTGAGCATGGCGATTTATACCCTCTATCCTAGCTATGCAGAAGGCATAGACAGGAAGATTGAGGTTGCCACTGAAAGTTCAAGAACATATTTGAAAATTTACCACTTTTGGTTATGATAAAAACCACTGCTGGCCAGGCTAATCCTAGCTGAGATCTGATCAGGGTTTGAAGCCTGGGTAGGAAAGTCCATGAGGCTTTTATCTCCAATGAACCACCAGAAAACCAGAAGTGGCACTGTGGCTCAAAGTGGTAGAGCACTACGATTGAGCAAAAGAGATCAAGGACAATGCCCAGGCTCTTTGTTCAAGCCCCACAACCAACACCCCCTCCCAAAAATGAAAAGAAAAAAGAAAAAAGAAAAAAGGAATTGCCCCTTTGAATAATATCAGAGAGACCCAGGCTCAGTTTTCTGCCTCCCTACTGACTCTCTTCAAAGGTACTAATACTGCTATTTTGTGTATTACTCAAGATTTTCATTTCATGGGTGATTCAAGCTAGTTTTACCCATGGAGACATGAAAATATTAATTATGCTTATTTTAGGAAATTTGTTTTAATTCCAACGGATTATACCTATATACCATGTCATTCATTATGATATCTACTCCTTTCCATGTCTTTCAGAAAAATAAACACAAGATAAATCACCTAAGAGGCATGGTTAAGTTACACTACTTCTCAGGGAGCCCCCTATACCTGAAAGCTAAATCTCCTGGTTATTCAGGACCATTATATATGTAATGTAAAAGGGAGATAGAGCTGGGATGAGAAAATCTCCGGAAAATTCATTTATTAGACAACTTATAAGCACCAATGTAGTTTATAGTTTGATTTTGCTTTCTCAATTCTTTCATGAACTTCTATTAGTAGTCTCTGCACATTTTATTTTTCTTTCTCACACTCATTCAAAAAACAGGTCTACTTAAAACTTACTCCTGGGACATAGCTCAGTGGTAGAGTGCATGTTTAGCATGTGTGAGGCCCTGTATTCAATCTCCAATATCCCCCATCATAGAAAAAAATATAATTAAAAATAGTTTAAACAATGAAGCAATATTTTTGTAATAAACTCCGACAGGAGGCATGAATACTCACATGCTGTAAGAGGAACAACTCCCAACCATGCAAAGGCAACAAGTGTATAATGAAACCAGTATCGTATTGCAGTGCCAATGCTTGTAACCAGTCCAGCAAATATATCTTGGATTGGAAGCCGTGAAGGCATATCTGGAGAATAAACTATAAGAAGAGAAATGCATACAGAATTTCATAAAGACTTAAAAATGGTTTAATTCAGAACTACAAAATAGGCATATAAAGCTGTCTGAACTTTCAATATTTAGCTTTTAAGTACTGCGCTTTTCAATTTATTGAATCACACTTTCTCAAGAAAATCAATAAAAAGCTCTAAACTAAAAAACAAGATTCAACTGGAAAAGGTTCACGTCCCTTGCCCACAGCCATGAAACTTGTGCAATGTTTAAATGCATTTCAGCATTCAGACAATAAGGTATCTGGCTTCCTGTGCTAGAAAAGAACAGGTAAAGAAAATAGATGCAAAAGCTGAAGCTGATGACATCAAGAAAGAGCTCCCCCAAATACAAGCATTAGAAACAACATTCAAAGAGTACAACAATCCACAGTCAAGTCCTTACATGTGGTACAACAGCCCACTGATATGCTAGCAAACTCTTCCTCTGATTGTATTTAACATTGTACTTAAAATTTCAAATGACAAATTCAGACCTTATCATTTATCTGAAGCTGTAGTTCAATACACATGGGGAGAAAGGTTTTGCTACATTTTAGAAAGTGATTCCAGGGGTTGAGAATGTGGCTTAGTGGTAGAGTGCTTGCCTAGCATGCATGAAGCCCTAGGTTTGATTCCTCAGTACCTCATAAACAGAAAGGGCCAGAAGTGGCACTGTGGTTCAAATAGTAGTGCTAACCTAGAGCAAAAGAAGAGCTCAGGAACAGTACGCCCAGGCCCTAAGTTCAAGCCCCCAGGACTGGCAAAAAAAAAAAAAAAAAAGTTGCAATAACACCCCGCCCCCCACTATTTAAAAGGTTCCTCTCTAAATAACGCAGGAAAAACAAATTCCTTTTTCTACAGTGAGGCCACACAAGAAATGACAATGTGTAAAGTTCAAAAATCAATTATGCAAAATTTCTTTTTTTTTTTTTTTTTGGGTCCGGTCGTGGGCCTGAACTCTGGGCCTGGGCGCTGTCCCTCAGCTCTTCAGCTCAAGGCTAGCACTCTACCACCTGAGCCCCAGCACCACCTCCGGCTTTTTTCTTTCTGCTTATGTGGTGCTGAGGAATCGAACCCAGGGCCTCTGGCATGCAAGGCAAGCGCTCTACCACTGAGCCACCTTCCCAGCCCCAATTATGCAAAATTTCTAAGACCGAGCTGAGTATGTAGCTCAGAGTCAGAGCACTTGCTTAACTTGTAAATGGCCCTGGTTGGGTCTGATTTCCAGCAGCAGAAAATAAATTTAAGTAGTAAATATAAAATGTATAAGAGCACTATATATACAAAGCTGTTCACCTTTTAGAAACATTAAGAAGTAAAAAATCAACAAATGGCAACTTTTTATGAAATGCATAGATCACAACTTTCAATAAAATACTTAGTATTAAAAAGTCATGCCAGGTGCCAGAAGCTCACGCCTGTAACCCTAGCTACTCAGGAGGCTGAGATCTAAGGTTGAAAGCCAGCCAGGGCAAAAAAAGTCCCCACGAGATTTTTATCTAAAATAAACTACTCAGAAAAGCAAGAAATGATGCTGTGGCTCAAGTGGTAAAGCGCTAGCCTTGAGCACAAAGAACAAAGAAGCTCAAGGTCAGCACCCAGGTCCTGTGTTAAAGCCCCAGGACAAGCAAAAAAAAAAAAGTCATTAAGACAGGTGGCTCATGTCTGTAACCCTAGCTACTCAGGAGGCTAGTATCTGAGGATCACTTTTTGAACCTAGCCAAAGCAGAAAAGTCCATAAGACTCTCCACCCAAAAGCCAGGGGTACAGCGGTAGCTCAAATAGTAGAATGCAAGCATTGAGAAAAAAAACTCAGGGACAGCACCCAGGATGACCACTAACTAAATAAAGCTTTTATACACTAGAGAAAACTGAAGATTACAAAACAATGCAACTGACAGTTGTTGTTGTTGTTTGGGGGTGGGGGGAGCTGGTTGTGGGATCTGAACCCTGGGCCAGGGCGATGTCCCTCAGCTCTAGGCTAGCGCTCTACCACTTGAGCCACAGCTCCACTTCCAGCTTTTTTCCTTTTTGCTTATGTGGTGTTGAAGAACTGAACCCAGGGCCTCAGGCATGCAAGGCAAGCAAGCAGTCTACCACTGCGCCACCTTCCCAGCCCCAAATGCAACTGACATTTTTAAAGACAATAATTGTAACCTTAATCATTAAATCATTAATATTTATCAAATATAAAGTAAAACACTAATTTATAGTACTTATTTTGAGCAGCTCAAGATTTATGAGGCTTAAAAAAATAAAAATCTAAAACACACAAAAAAAATCAGAGAAGTGCCTGGCGCTGGTGGCTCACGCCTGTAATCCTAGCTACTCAGGAGGCTGAGATCTGAGGATCGAGGTTCAAAGCCAGCCCGGGCAGGAGACACCGTGAGACTCTTATCTCCAATAAACCGCCAGAAAACCGGAAGTGGCGCTGTAGTTCAAGTGGTAGAGCGCTCGCCTTGAGCTGAAGAGCTGAGGGACAGCGCCCAGGCCCAGAGTTCAAGCCCCACGACTGACCAAAAAAAAAAAAAAATCAGAGAAGAAAGGGATAATAAATGTGTTAGGACCCCAACATGAAAAATTACACTTAAAATGTGGCTCAGAGGGACACAAAGGCACAATGCTTATGTACATCTGAATATCTACTGAAATGAACTCCAAGAAACAGAAACAAAAGGGTTTTTTTTTCCTTTTGCTTTCTTTTGTCTTGTTTTTCCATTTTTTGGGAGGGTAGTGGGGGGCACCGAAATGGTGGAACAAAGGGTGAACAAAAGCAGCAGTGAAACTCACTAGACACTATATTGGAATGAATTGTACAAGTTGTGGGTGGGGATAGGAGTGAAACAGGGAGAGAGCAAGGGAAGGGGTGACACTGTTTTAAAAAAAAATGTACTGTTTAAAATTGTTAAAACAGAGATACAGGAGGACCCATTGCAACAATGAGATGTACAAGTCCTTATATTGAAAAACGAACTTTACAACTTTGGTGGGGGGGATGGGGGGGAGGGAGGAAGGGATGGGAAGGGATGGGAAGGGGAAACAAAGCAGGAAGCTACAATGCTTGATAAGAAATGTGTTCATTATCTTACCCATGTAATTATAACCCCTCTGTATTTTCACAATAAAAATATATTTTAAAAAATGTACTGTTTACTAACCCCTCTGCCCATCACCTTAACAGTAACAATAAAACATTCATTAAAAAAAGAACAAAAAACAGGGCTGGGAAGGTGGTAGAATGCATGAGGCCTTGTGTTTAATTCCTCAGCACCACATAAGCAGAAAAAGCTGGACATGGTGCTGTGGCTCAAGTGGTAGAGTGCTAACCTTGAGCTGAAGAACGGAGGGACAGAAGCCCAGGCACAGAGTTCAGGTCCCACAACCGACAAAACAAGCAAGCAAACAAACAAAAAAACAATAAAACTTGACCAGATGCTAGTGACTCATGCCTGTAATCCTAGCTACTCAAGAGGCTGAGATTTGAGGATTACCTTTCAAAACCAGCCCAGGAAAAAAAGTCTGAGATTCTTATTTCCAATAAACCACCAAAAAAATGGCACAAAGTGGTAGAGCATTAGCCTTCAGCAAAATGGAGCTCAGGAACAGTTCTCAGGCCCTGAGTTCAAGCACAGCAGCCAACAACAACAACAACAACAACAAGGCACAAGATGCATGAAGCACTGGATTCAATTCTCAAGGGGGAAGGGAGGAGAGAGATACACATGCCAAAACATTAGTATCTTGCTAGTATAGTCTTCCAAATATTTAAGATGAAATATGCAGATGAAAAAAGACAGAAAAAATGAAAGGTGAATGAGAACACTGATAGGACAAAGTGGATCATAAACACCTGAAAGACAGATGAAAATGAGTGATGGGTTCATCATGGGGGTCCTTATTCCCTTGCATATGTTTGAGCTTCTCTATAATTAAAAGGAAAGAAAATAAGAAGGAAAAGAATACCCTACAAAATGTGTTGTGTTAAAAGATGAAAAATTTTTAAAACATTTCCTAAGTAGATTTTTCTATAAGCATGGAGAGACAATGAAGTTCAGTATTGTTGCTTTGAAAGCATTTAAACACCTTTTGTTGCCAAAAATAACTGCAATGAAAACATTTAAAGAACTTACTTGGTGTAAAAGCAAATCTGTGCTTGCATAATTCACAGTATTCTTTCCGACTATGTTTCAGCCACTGAACTAAGCTGTAATTACAAATACATTAATAAACATTGGGTTTACAACAAACAAAAGATTTCATTGAAAACTGGTTTATATTAAAATCATATAGATTACAGCTTTTATAATTTTTTTTTTTGGGAGTCCGGTCGTGGGGCCTGAACTCTGGGCCTGGGCGCTGTCCCTCAGCTCTTCAGCTCAAGACTAGCTCTCTACCACTTGAGCCATAGCGCCACTTCCGGCTTTTTTTTTTCCTTTTTGCTTATGTGGTGCTGGGGAATTGAACCCAGGGCCTCATGCATTGCAAGGCAAGCGCTCTACCACCGAGCCATCTTCCCAGCCCCAGCTTTTATAATTGTAACCATTTCACCTTTAGAATATTCTCCAACCTTTTATAACTTCCTTCTAAACAGTACAGAATTTACAACAGCTAAAGACATAAGCAGTATTACTACAGCATTAGGAAGAATCCAATTAATATAAATTATAATCTCTTCAGAGCTAAATGAATATTGAAGAACACAAACATCAGTATCAGTTTAATACTGGTCTGATGATACTAAGACCATGTGACTGGGTCTGCTGACAGGCAGGTTTGGTTGTCACTAACTGGTGGGCTACTGGGCTTTGAGCAAGTTATTTTAGCCTAGTTTTATCATCAACATAATAGTCCACCACCCAGGTTTCTTTGAAAAGTTAGTTAAAAGATGTGTTAAGAGCTGAGAATATGGGCTGGGAAGGTGGCTCAGTGGTAGGGCGCTTGCCTTGCATGCATGAGGCCCTGGGTTCGATTCCTCAGCACCACATAAGCAAAAAGAAAAAAAAAAGCCCGAAGTGGCGCTGTGGCTCAAGTGGTAGAGTGCTAGCCTTGAGCTGAATTGCTGAGAGACAGCACCCAGGCTCAGAGTTCAGGCCCCACGACCGGACCCAAAAAAAAGAGCTGAGAATAATTCTTGGCCCAGAGTACTCCCTGAACATGAGCTGCTACCATACCACTCAAAACTAGAAAAGTACAGTATGTCCCATGAACAAAAACGAACTCAAAATCTACCAAAGTAACAAGTATTAAGGATTATGGGTAATTTTCACTGTTTTTTTTTTGTTTGTTTGTTTTTAGTCAGTTGAAAGGCTTTTGAACTCTGGACCTGGGTGCTGTCCCTTAGCTCTTCAACTCAAGGTGAGTACTCTACCACTTGAGCCACAGCCCTACTTCTGGTTCTCTGGTAGTTAACTGGAGAAAGCAGTCTCACAGACTTTCCTGCCCAGGCTGGCTTTGAACTGTGAGCCTCAGATCTCAGCCTCCTGAGTAGCTAGGATTATAGGCATGAGCCACCAGGGCCTGGCTTTTTTTCTTTTTTACAGAAACTTCAAAAGCAATTAATTATAGAGCAAGTTCTTTTAAAATGATCATTACTGTTGTATAGATGACAAAAATGAAGCTCAAAATTATAAAATTTTCTAACTACAGGACTTACCATTCCTGATGGATAAACTTAATACTGCCAGTACATACACAAGGATGATAAAGAGGTTTTTCAGGTGTTCCTTCTGATCGACACACCCTACATATGTCTGTTAATAAAACAGAAAAAATGAATTACTTTTGGTTATAACTTTTATAAAAAAAATAGACCACAAAAAAGAAAATATGTTGTGTTAAAGTAACAATATGTCACTTGGAAAAACATTAATCACAGCACAGAGAACTAAAAATTGTGATGAAAATAATATATACCTGAAACTAAAAGTTTCCTTTAAAAACATTAAAACATAAATAGTTGCTTAACACCTTTGTACACCTAAAGCTAACACATTCTATTTAAAACTGTGCTCACCCATAACAAATACCAAAACAAATCAGGTTACTCTTTAAGTGTCCTTAACCACAGTCCTAACAGTTTAAAATCCTCACTACATCTAATCCTAACAGAACAAGCTCCATAAAAACACACTTGAGGCACAGTGGATGTCCCTTTCTACAAGAACAAGGGACAGCAATAATCTCCTAATCTCTCTCTTAATGTTCTCTTCCCCCTCAGATGTGAGGGATACCCAATACACAGAAACTCCAACCAGAGAATGAATGGTCAGCCAGAAGCTGCTTTGCGTAGATGCTACAGGAACCTAAGGATCTTGAGATCCAGAGCATGGCAGCTCCCATGCTCACCAACAGCAACAAGTAGCAGTAGGGACTCATCTACCTGCCTGCCTTCCCACCTGGGGTAGACATCAACAGCCAGCAGAGCAGCACAGGGAGGAAAGCAACTGATCTGTCATGCTTGTTCACTTGCTCCTGAGCGCACCTTCCTCTGCAGGATGACATCTCAGCTATCCCTCAGAGCCCAATTCTAACCCCAAGAGGACAATTCCAGTTGTAACAGGCATGTACACAGGGGTAAGAGACATGAAGTTCACTTTGACCTACTCTAAGAACTCCTTATTTACTGAGGAAGAACTACAATCTAAATTTCTTTTGTAGACAGATGTAATACCCTTTTTGGATTTGCGTGTGCAGTATGTGATCCTGGATGTTTATCATCATTACAAGTTTGTGATGCTCAGTCTTGGTTCAGTTGTTATTCAGAATACCACATAACACACTCCCACACCCAAAAAATTTTTGGGTGCTGGTGCTTGAACTCAGGGTCTGGGTGTTGTCCCTGAGTTTTTGGACAGTGCTATACTACTTGAACTGCAGCTCCACATTGGTTTTTTGGTAGTTAACCGGAGATTAAGGGTCTCATGAACTTTCTTTCCCGGCTGGCTTTGAACTGCAACACCTATATATAAGCCTCCTGAGGAGCTAGGATTACAGGCATGAACTACCAGTACCAGGCATCCTAAAGATTTTGACTTTCTAGAAGTAGCTGGTGGGCATAGATAAGCTGCCCTCCTTTATGGTGAGAACTATGTGGGATCCTAACATCTGTAAACTTCTCACCTTCATCCTTGATTAATGAAAACATCTTTAGCAAAACTTTCCCTTTGGTTAGTCTCATGAAGTGCTCTAGTGGTGCACATACCAGTGAGCTGCTTGCTTAATCAGATGCAAAATTCCGACACAAACAAAATAGAACTGAGTTCCCATTCCACAATTCTAAGCAATAGTATCTAGGCAGCCTACTACTCTTTGGATGCTCCATTTCCTCCAAGTATGCATTTCAGTACCAAGGAAATTCAATCTCAGAGCCTAGAGGACCTTAGGTGCAGAACTCCCTGATGGGCCACCCTTTATTGTGCTTGAGACTCAAGCATAAGTGTTCTTAGCTTTAGTGAATTCAAATGTAAGACACTGAAAATGAAGCTACCTGAGGTACCAACACCAGATTTGCCTTGCAACTCAATCCCCCAAATACAGCACCTTGGAAGAATCTAGTTTTATCACTGCCCTTTTGGATTGGGAAAGCTGCATGCTCCCTGCTCCCTCTGTGGAACTGAAACAAAATCCCCATCACCTAGATACCAGATTGGAGCCATGATGCTGTGCAACTCATCTAAATTATCTAGAATTATGGGCCATCATGCTGTGCAACTGATTTAAGTAATCTAGAATTACCAAAGCTATTGGGCACTGTGGATATGGATTAGCCCTAGAATTATCAGTTATCCAGGTTGGGGCCAAATGATGCCCAAAGCCATCATCACCCAGAGTACTAAGATGCCCAGAGAATAACTTTTGAATGGCACATACTAGTATAAAATCAACTCATTAGGCAGGAGCGGTGTAAGTACAGGTAAGCCAGTACCAGAGAAGGAATCCTCTCTAGCATGCCCCATGAGACATGGTACTGAGGAAGGAAGTGGGGACTAGGCTCACATACTGATAAGCTATCAACTGAGTACTGGGGAAGGAAAAAGATGGGAATTGGCACACCACTGCCACTCGGGAGGCAAGGTCAACAGAAGGCAAGATAACCATGTGGACATTGCTGCTTGGACTCTTGGTGAGTTCACTCGACAATGAAGACCCTTGCAAAGCCACCCAGCTGTGTGTGACCAGTGAAGGCTGAGGTGAGACCAAGGCCGTGGCAAACTCCAGGAGTGACATCTTCAAAAGGTACTACTTACTCCAACAATGGCTGGAAGGCAAGTGGCTGACCAGAAATTAGGTGGAGAAGAGATCTACTTAGAAGATACACCTAGAATCAGGCAAGACAGTAATTTCCAAAAAGACCCTCATCCTTCTGAATGACAAACTACAAATACAAATATTAAGCAAATACAGCAAACCTAAAATCAAGTACCAGGCTCTGCTCAAAACAATGGTACAGAGAACTTGGATCCCAGAGATTGGAGTCTCTTGCACAGTCAGGGCCGGGTACTGGTGGCTCACACCCATAATCCTACTCAGGAGGCTGAGAGCTGAGGATCACAGTTCAAAGCCAGCCCAGGCAGGAAAGTCCGTGAGACTCTTACCTCCAATTAGCCACCAGAAAACTGAAAGTGGCGCTGTGGCTCAAGTGGTAAAGCACTCACCTTGAGTTGAAGAGTGCAGGGACAGCGCCCAGGCCGAGTTCAAGCCCCACAACCAACCAAAAAAAAAAAAAAAGACTGCACAGTCAAAACTATTCTGAGTAATAATAATATATCTTTTTTACTCATTGTCTTACAAATTTACAATGGCATTTTCTTTTTTTCTTTTTTTTCCAGTCGTGGGGCCTGAACTCTGTCCCTCAGCTCTTCAGCTGTCGACTAGCGCTCTACCGCTTGAGCCTCAGTCCCACTTCTGGCTTTTTCTGCTTATGTAGTGCTGAAGAATTGAACCCAGGGCCTCATGCATGCAAGGCAAGTACTCTACCATTGAGCCACCTTCTCAGCCCCAACAATGGCATTTTCTACATAATATGTGAGGCAATGGATTGAATGCATCCATATAAAAAATATCACCTGCTTGCCGTTAAACCAAATATAAAACAAATCACCAATTTTGGAAAATATGCTTTTATGAAAATGTAAATGGTATGTTATTGTAAATCTAAAATTCTTGCTGGATGCCGGTAGCTCATGCCTGTAATCCTATCTACCCAGGAGGCTGAGATCTGAGGATTACTTTTTGCCAGCCTGGGCAGAAAGTCCGTTGAGACTCTTATCTCCAATTAGCCATCAGAAAATGTTAAGTGGTGCTGTGGCTCAAGCGGTAGAGCACTCGCCTTGAGCTGAAGAGCTGAGGGGCAATGTCTAGGCCCAAGAGTTCAAGCCCTACAACTGACAAAAATAAATAGTTTTAAAAATTAAAATTCTTAATATAAGATAATGTTAAGCAAAATGTATTTTGTAATTTGGGGAGGGGAGGGGAGATTGCAGAATGCTTAAATAAACATGAAGGCTGACTCATTGTGATGACGAGATGTACAGGACACTATAGGGTGGGAGGAGTTGGGGATGTGGGGAGGGAAGTGATAGCAGGGGAAAAATAAAGGAGGAGGTAACAATGCTCACTATGAAATGTACTCATTACCTACTCATGTAGGTTACTACTGTAACCTCTCTGCACAACATTTTTACAATAAAAATATTAATTAAAAAAATTAAAATTCTTAGCTGGGCATCAGTGACTTACACTTATAATTCTAGCTACTCACAAGGCTGAAATCTGAGGACCACAGTTCAAAGCCAGCCTGGGTAGAAAAGTCCTTGAGACTCTTACTTACAGTTAAGCACCCTTAAAAAAAGCCCTAAGTTTGGCTGGGAATGTGGCTTAGTGGTAGAGTGCTTGCCTAGCATGCATGAAGCCCTGGGTTTGATTCCTCAGTACTACATAAACAAAAACAGCCAAAAGTGGTGCTGAAGAAGCTCAGGAACAGTGCCTAACCCTTAAGGTTCAAGTCCCTGGATGGGAAAAAAAAAAAAAAAAACACCTGGAAGCAGAGCTATGACATGACTCAAATGGTATAGCATTAGCCTTGAGTACAAAAGCTCAGGAACAGCACCCAGGCCATGAGTTCAAGCCCCAGGAGCACACGCACACAACGCATGCACACGCATGCCCGCGCACATACACAGACAGACAGACACACACACACACACACACACACACACGCACAATCTTCCACCAGGCACTAGTGGCTCATGCCTGTAACACTACCTGCTCAGGAGGCTGAAATCTGAGGATTGCAGTTCAAACCCATCCCAGGCAGCAAAGTCCATGAGACCCTTAGCTCCAATTAACCACAAAAAAGCTGTAATTGGACCTGTGGCTCAGTGCTAGCCTTCAGCAGAAAATCTCAGGGACAGCACCCAGACCCTGAGTTCAAGCCCCAGGAATGGCAAAGAAAAAGAAAAAAAAAAAAAAAAAAGAGTTATCTACTAGTATACGCAACACTACAACATTCAAGTTCCAAAATGCCATGTCATGAGTAGAATCATGCAGTAACTTTATACTTATGTGTGTGTGTGTGTGTGTGTGTGTGTGTGTGTGTGTGTGTGTGTGTGTGTATATATGCATATATATATATATATATATATTTTTTTTTTTTTTTTGCAGGCACTTGTAACTCATGCCTATAATCCTAGCTACTCAAAAGACTGAGATGTCAGCAGTGCAGTTTGAAGCCAACTCGAGGCAGGAAAGT